TGCTGAAATGTCATAAGCTGTTGAATCTGAACTTCTTACCTCATCTAAAAAACACACTGAACCGATCTTTGTGTCGACACTCGCTACGACCGTACGGCTTTGTTCTGCTTTGCACATTCAGGAGCCTTCAAGTCTTGGCACTTCCACGACGGCCCTGACACGACCGTGATCACCCCATCCGATTTCCCGCTGTTTCTGTGTCCGGAAACAGGCAATGTAGATTCGGAGAGTTTGCTTATTCCATCTTCTTTGTGTTTTTCTTGATCCTTGGTGTTGCAAATGCTCAAAGGCAGCTTCTTTAGCTTCACTCTTCCCCTTCTCTTGCCCGACGAGCTACTTTCTTCCACTGCTCTGTCCTTCAATGGAGTCGAATCTGTTTCCATGTTGTCCGGCTTTGATCTCCTGCCCTTTTCGCAGACGGGTGTCTTCTCGCTTGCTCTGGTCCTATCTACACCATCTTCCTCGTCCAAGCTGTCTGAATCCACAACCCCAGCAATGTCATGTTCCCCGAACATAGAACCAGACACTATACTACTACCAACTCCAACCCTCGGATTCTCAGAAGTAACCATGGCCTTATGCTTCTTGTTCTTGTGACCAGAGCTATTCCTCAAGACTCTAGACGAAATATTCATAGCTCGGTGCAACCTACGGGCTAAATCCTCATCCGGAGCACTTGGATCTCTCGTATTCGAATACAATAGCTCAACTGGAACATGCTTCTTCTGCTTGTTCCTCCTCGGAGACCTCTCCTTCCCATTGATGGCCTCCTCGGGGAACGAATAAAAAAATTCTAAAGCACTCTTGGCAGCAGCAATGGCCTTGGAAGCGATCAAGGCCTTCTCTTCAGCAGCAGCTCTAGCCGCCTTGGCGGCCATGGCGGCGGCTGCTGCAGCGGACCTCGAGGACTCAGCAATCTCCTCCGGGGTGAGATTTGGGTCGTTGAGATGTGAGGCCAATATATGGTCGAGATGGGTCTGGGCATTGGCGGAAGCAGAGGAGGAAGAAGCACCACCGCCTGCTGCAGGAGGTGGATGGCTCGGAGATTCATTGCCGTTTGAATTCTGCTTCTTCAATCCAGCGAGCAAACGCTTCCGAGGAGGAAGAAGCACATCGGATTCCAGTTGGTTTACATCGCAAGCATCTGTCTCCATTTCCATCTTTCTTCCTCAGATTTCAACTGAAAAACCCAAATCGATGGATAAAACATGGATTAGTGTCTCATTAGGACAGGAAATCAGTGACCAGAAAATGGATCAGAATTCAAACCAGCTCGAACGAAAATCCCCAAGAGCAAACCAGAGTACAAATACTCATCATCATCCTCACATCCAAATTACGACACCAAACCGATCCATATGTATATCCATTGATACTTCACAGAATCGAGAACAAGAACATCAACCAAATCCAGTGAATTCCTCAAACACCAGAATTAAACATGCATCCCAAAACGAATTCCAGACAGTAAAAAACCCAAATGAAATCAGACGAATCGTCAAAAGAACATATAACCAGAAACACGAAAACAATCCAGAAAAAAAAACACATCGCCAGCTCAAGTACTCGATCAAACAGAATTGCGAAACATGCCGGATTCAGAGAACGAAGAACGAAAAAAAAAGGGAGTCCCAGATCAGCGAGCTTTAAAAATTCTCGCCCTTTCTCTCCCGTTCCAAAACAAGTTTCGGCAGCTTCGTAGTTACCTGGTCATCGTATAAGGAGAGATTAAGAGAAATTAGGGTTTTCGAAAGGAGAGAATAAGGGAAATGGAGAGGAGAGGAGAGGTTCGTTCTAATCTGTGCTCCATTTTGGTTTTTATATGTAAACCCTACGAATCACTCTCTTTTTATTATCCATTTTTTTACCATTAATTTTTATTATTTTCTTTTTTATTTTTACATTTAGGGCTCAACCAGAGAACCCCAGAAAATTTCACAGCTGATTCATACTTTCCGTTTTTTTACATTGCTCCGTTTAACGATAATAACGGCCGTCATAACTGTCCTTTTTAACTGAGTCTCCCATTTCTTTAAATGAGAGATTTTAGACGGAGTTAATCATTCCGTCTCTTTTTTTAATCACGTATCATTATATTATAACAACCCTTAAAAAATAATTTCAAATGTATCAGAATCTTTGGCAATGTATATGAGAAATTATTGAAAATTAGGGAGAGTTTAAAAAGAGATACTGTTAGAATATATTTGAACATAGAGTAAATTAAATGTTACAAAATATACAATAATCCATAGTGAAGATTCATCTAAAAATCGCATCCGTATACCGTATATTTATAAACCAAATCTAAATTTCAATGACTGAAATAAATAACACGTGATTTAATACCACGAGACAATCACAAAACATGGCGGGGCAGAAAATATATGCAATTAAAATTACATGCGGAATTAATATTCCATGATTTACCTCGACATCTTAGATAAGTAATTAAATAAATCCTAAAAATAAGACAAATTCAATTTGTTTTTATCTTATTTTTAAATTTGTAAAAAAAATATCCGAAAATCATCTTTGGATTTGGTGTCGGAGATGGACAAATGTCGACCAATGGCGACACCTTCGCGACACGACTAAATTCCCTCGCCTGCCAACTCATATTCCAACCAATCATTGACTGCCACATCATATAAGAGTGCGTTTGAATTGCACGCGACGTTTGCCGCGTGGAAACCTCCACGCCAGTTTTTTTTTTTCAGTTTTTTTCCGTAACGTTGATACTATTAATATCGAGACATACGACGTCGTATTCTGCGAACTCCCGAACAGAACCACCAAACTTGGATTTTCCCCTCCAGTTTCCCGTTTGCCGCCGATTTTTCCGTTCTAGAGAGAGAAAACTATGAAAAAGGCGATGCCTTTTCCTCCAATTCATGTCCAATGGCGAGAATTTCGTGGATGCCCATGATGGGTTTTCGTGTTTCTCAGTAAAAATTTGGGATTTTTCCTCTGGTGTCTCAGTATGTTCATTCAGAGAAGAAGATTGGCAAGCCCTAGCCTGAAGCAGAAGGTGATCTTCATGCTACGCGATTTTGCCTTTGTTATGTTCGATAATCGATATGAAGAGGGTTGTCTTGGAAAAAACTCGTCTTTAACTGTTTCGATGCTTCTGGTTATGAGCAAGTCACAGGAATTGTTCTGCATTGGGGTTTTTCAGTGACCTTTTATTCCAACGTTTATGCTTCCCTGTTTACATGACATGAACAGAGATAGTTGACTCTATCTCTTCAGGAAATGATGCATGGCCTCCGCTATTTCTTGATGTAACTGACTTCTCCGACATTGACTGCTGCTGATTTAGGAAATTCTCGAAAAAAGTAAGCTTTGAATTCGAAAACTTCAGTGATGGATTGGGTGTTAACACCTGTGCTGGAAAACGACTCCCGGGTGTTACTTTTCATGAGCTTACATTAGCTCATGATGATGCATCGATCATTCATGCCTATGATGCCTAATGATAAAAGGAAGCGAATGGTTTTTCCTGTGATGCTTTCTCTGATACTTCTGAATTCCGCCACGTTATCAGCGAAGATGATAATATTAGTTTTAGATGATGATATAGAAACTGGTGCTATCAGGTTCACGCATTCTTTCCTAGATGATGGGAACTACACTCATCTGGATGAGGAATCTGGTTTGAGGGACACGCAGATGATGTCAGGAGGAAAACTAAGTCCAGTCATCCGGGTGGCACACAGAATAAGGTCTGGAAACGAAGTTCAAGAAGGTTCTGCAACAGGTTGGTATCCCAGTTGTTGCCAGCAGAATGCCCGCCATTACTGATCAGGTTCTTCATTCTTTGTCATCTCTCCTCCTTCTCTTACAGTTTTTTCTTACATAAACACAGTCAACAATGTCTGTCACAAACCCAAAAGACATCCAAAGCAAGCACCAGAAGAAGAAGATTCACCATGTTCCAATGATAATAATGAAAAATCTCTTAACCAGAACATTGCAAGACGATCACACAAATGTTTCTCTGAAAAAAGATAACTACTAAAACTTGTTTTTATTACTTCTGATTAAACCACGAGAACCCCTGAAAGTTCACCTGCAAATTCCGATGAAAAGTCTGCTGCTTGAGTTCATATCATCAGCCTGCCATGCTGTAGTCTTCGACGTGGTCGTAAAGGTTGTAGCTTTCCGACAGTCCCATCTTGGCCGCGAGATTTTCGTCCCCTACAAAGATTATCCAACCAAGTATCTGATTATCATTATCAAAATCCAATAGAATAGCTTGTCTTTTTCCGTTTCGAAAGAGTAGCTTACTGCCTTAAACATATCAAATCACTCGTAGAATCGGATGTATGCAAAAGACTCTTTTGTTCTACTTAGTAAAAGTATTATCTAAAATGTATCAGATGCTATTTTTTGTTGGAGTGTGTACAGATGCAAAATGCAGCTAGTTGAAAAGGTAAACACTGAGAAAGGAATCAATTCTACGTACTTGGGTTCGATAAAACTCCTAGCAAGTGAAGTTCTGAGCTCATCTCAGGGCTCTGGAAGCAAAGATCCTCTGGCCTAGGAGTTGTTGTTGCTGCCCCAACAAGACTCTCGGGTCTTGTTCTCTTATCGTTCGATGACTCCACTTCAGTCTCTACCTCGGACTCACCATTGTTGTTGTTGTTGGAGGAACCAGCACCTTGCTGTTTCCTTTTTGACCGAGCCCGCCTGTTCTGAAACCAGTTGTAGACATTGGTTTCGGAGATATGGCCGTGTTGGCTGAGTTCTGCAGTAATGTCCTTGATCTTTTGCTTGCTCGGGGTCCCTGTTCCTTGATCAAATATCTGCTCGAGAATCTGAAGCTGCACAGGCGTCGGAGTCCATCGCTGTCTTGCAGACATCTTGTGACCTGCAGATGAGATCAAGGGGTCTGAATACAGACCTCCCAATCTCCCTCCTGCTCCACCACATGAATGAATGATCGTTTCAAGATTTGAGAAAACGATAATAATGTCTCTTAGAAGTAAGAACTGTCCACAGATCTGATTCAAAATCAAGGAGAATCTAGCAGATGAAGTGATCAACCATAAGGGCATTGTCCCCGAGAAAAGGAACAAAAAACTGACTTGAACGTTGTCATATCCAGGGAGCTTAGACAATAGAGAACTCCATAGTTCAAGAACAAGCATCGGCCAGAGCTATATGAGACGTGGGTCAGAAATTCGATTTGAGCGTGGAAGATCACAGATTCATATGGCTATGGCACACGAATTCGAGGTTTTATATATCTCAGGGCCAAAAAGCACGAAATTTTCCAGGGAAATTTAGTTCAATTCGGGGAATGAAGATAAGGAACAGTTAACAACAGGAAAAGAAACCTTAACCGATTCTTTATGAACAAAACCCCCAAACCCTTAATCAAGGTTTCCGAGCACTGAAACTGCAGAGTCAACAATCACTTCTTTCAGCAACAACCTCAAAACCACAAAGGGTTTGGTCTTTGCATCAAAATCAAACCAACGATTTTCATTAAAAAGACGCAAAATTTCCAAATACCCAAAGATCCACCCCCCCAAGCGAGCAGAATCGCCGAACAAAACCACAAAAAGGAGTGAAAATTTCAGGGGGGGAAAAAGAACCTTTTTCTTCTCGCAGGGGATGAGGAAGAGATAGAGAGAGAGAAAGGAAATGTCAGAAGGGAAAACCTGCGAGATCTTGCTGAGCAGTGAGGGTTTTGTGCATCTCAACGAGGCGCTCACAGATTGTAGCGTAAATCGCAATCTGCTTTCTGAGAGTCTCAAGCTGCTCGTCCGTCATCACCTTCACGTACATTCCTCCGCCGCCATTAACGTCGATCCCATGAAGATTAGGAGTTGCGTGATTACTGGGCTGTTGCTGATTATCCCACTCCATCATCGTAATTGTCGCAATTTTTCACAGAGGAATGTTCAGGCTGAAGTCGATCTTCTCCTGTTCTGTTTCTGTGTGTGAAATGAAGGAAACAGAGGAAAGTCAGTGCTTTTTCATGAGTAGAGAAAAAGTTAAAGGCAGAAAAGGACAAAGAAGCTGAAATTTCTTTGATTAAAAAAAAATTTAAAAAAAGTGAGAGAGAGCGAGTAAACAAGAAGAAGAAGTGAAGAAACGACCATTTGATTCTATATATGGAATTAAGTGTTTGAATTTATAGAATTACTACTGTTATTTTTTATTTTTGTTATTGACATATTATATATTTATAATTTAGTTACTGCAAAATATTTTCAAAAAATGACTTTTGGAGTTTATTTATGGATTTAGTAATTTCAAATGTGAAATATACAAGCACTTTCTACAATATTTCTTAAGGATTGGTTTAATATTTGTTTTTTAATAAAATTATGACATGATAGTGTGAGCAGCACAAATCATTTGCATAATGAAATTATCCAACGTTTTTTACACGTAGTAACGGTACACTTCAAAGGAGATATCGTCGTGTATATATATATATATATATATATATAAGCTCTAATGTTTTATTAGTTGTTTTGTAAACGATGTATTTATGGAATTGGACCAATTGGTCGTCTATTTATGGTATTAGCCGTTTTAAATAATTAATTTAAAATATTTTCCGTATTAATTCCGCCTTAGTTGCTAACTTGCTAAGATGGTGGAGAAATAAACCTTTTTTACAAGGAAAACATCATAAAAAGATATTAAATTAATAAAAACAACTTTAATTTCATAATAGTAATATATTAATCACACTAAAATTTTCAAATAATACCATATGTTTTTAAAAATATTATCATATTGGTATAGTATATCTGCAATGCCACGTTTTTATATAATCAAATTAGATACAACTAAAAACTCAGAATGTTTTCCAAATGTTAATGATTATGTATTAATATGTTAAAAAATTTAAAAAAATATTACTGGAAGTTTAATATTGTTAAGTATATCATTATATTAAATTACAAATTATATATTAATTTGGAATTGATTAAAAAATATTAAATATTTATAATGGGATTATGAAAAATACACAGAGTTTTGTTCAAAGGGCTTTACTTGCACGAACAAGGAAAGCCCTTTGAGCATTCGTTCTTATTATTACAACATTAAAAAAACAAGTGAGCCAAAGTAAAAAAAATCATTATTTCATATATTATTTAAAAAAAAAAAATCAGAGGATGTGCTAATTTATTTATAATTAATCTGACATAGTCCTAGATTGAGAAATTTGAGGTTAGGATTTAATTCCTGACATATTCCATACAGTATTAATTTCACCGCCAGTAACAAACTGCAATACCGTAATTAATATTAAAAAGAACAGTAATGAAGAAAATAGCACCCCATTAATATAAAAAATAAAATAAAGCATCTTATTTTCCACGTGTCTGCATGGCACTAAAATCTCATCGGTGGTCGGTGTCCGCCGCCCACATTCCACGGGCACTTAATCTAAAGCCATCTTAACATTTTATTTTATTTTATTTTTGTTAAAATATAGAAATATATATTGGATCGGTCCAAAGGATATAACAATTGAATTTGTTTTGTTGTCTTGTAAAGAAGACTAGAAAAAAAAAATCGTCGGATACTATGCGAGTCGTGAATAGCTTTGTCCGAACTTGGGCAACAACTGTTCTAATCCAATTTCGAAATTTTGAAACTTAAAATACTAATTTTGTAAAAATAATATTAAATTTTTTAACAACAAAATAATAATATTAATTTAGTATGTGTGAGTGTGCGGAATAGTCTCTCTCTCTCTCTCTCTCTATATATATATATATATAAAAGAAGAAAATTTGGGTATTGTCATTGCCTCCATCAATAGTGTCTAACGGAACGAGGAACTTACTTTAAAAAATGATTACGGTGCATGAATCGGTTATTGCATCTGCCAAATATAATAAATGAAACAACTATAATAATAATAATAATTTATATTAATTTCCATTAAATATGTTATGAATTTTATTTGGTTTGAATTTCAGACGTGTTTTAACGGTGAGGAAAAATAAAGGATTCTGCATGTGCGACCTTTTGGTCAAAATTTGTGGCCAAAAGTCCAAAAAATGCGTCTTAAAAAAAATCAAGTATTTTCAGCCGGCACATTCAGAATAAATAAAACGTATGATAAATGCTAAAATATATTAATCAATAGTGAATAATCTACTGATGTGACTGAACCGTGTCTTCTAATTTAGATTATGGATGAAGTAATTTGATCTCTGTCATTAAACACAGCAAAATATTGATTCAACCAACAATCAAGCACCACAAAATTACAGCTGTGAGCACTTTTTTTTTTAATAACGTGCCAAATCAAATCCAAACAAATCTAAATAAAAATAAAATAGCTTTTCTAAAATTATAAAAAAACTTAATGTAAAAATAATGAATAAAAACCTAAGTGTTTACCCCTTGAAGTAGTAGTTAATGATTATTACAAGAATGGTACTTTACAAAGTTTCACCTAAGACAATGCATGAAGTGTATATTATCAATTGCTTTGCTTAAAAGCATGAAATCAATTTGATATCAGACGTTCCAATTTAAATTAATTGCAACTTGGTGCTCTAATCATTTTATCATCTTCAGCCTTTCTTTGATTTGCCTAACCAATTTAAATTTGTATTCAATTATAAAAAAAGAAGATAGCAAGATGGCAACTCAATACAATACAGTACCCAGAAGTAAACTAACATACCATAACCAGAAATGAAGCTCGAACTACAATCTCTTATCACAAAAAAGCTTGTTAAGCAAATATAAATTCTCAGCAAGGAGGGGGGTTGCCATTCTCCCTACAACAACTGGCCTAATCCATGGCAACACCAGGTGAGAGCCTCATATCAAAAGAAAATGCATAGCCCCGTCTATGTTTTTTGTTTTTTCTTAATCAGATCTTAGAAACTTTACACAAATTTCTCATTCATCTTCACCTGAGTCTCTGTAGAGAAGAACCCTAATCATCATCTTCATCCTGAAATCAAAGAGACCCCAGTCAAACACAAAAGAGGCAGAATCAATATACCACTGAATCAACAACATGAGACAGAAAATGAAAGCCTGAATCTCAGTCAACCTCTTCGCTTTCTCCTTCCTCCTCATCGTTGACTTCAGACTTGGACTTGTCAGAGTCATCATCTCCATCAGCCTAAATCGTAAGACAACATTGTACGTTAAAACTGCTTTTGCTGACGGAAGATGGAGAAAGAAAATCTCATTTCATGAAGTCTAAAAACCAAGATCCGCTTTACCAGTTTCTTGTTGTATTGTTGCATATTCTTGACATATTCACTCTTTTTGCTCTCCGCCTTTGAGACATAAGGAGCTTTATCCTGTTTTGTTTATTGCAAGATATGGGTACAGATCCACGATATCATATATTGGAAAGCAAATCGAACACCAGAAGAACAACTCACTTCCTCTGACATGGATTTCCATTTATCTCCAGCAGCTTTACCAACCTGATTTGCAATTTCAAGCCCAACCAAAAACCTATAAGCTCTCTGATAGACTTAGATCGGGGTTTCATACCAAGTTCTGACAAAAAAAGAATGCGTATATGTCGCGAATCTAGCAGAACTACTTACAGCAGCAACGGACTTGTTCTTAGGGTTTGCTTTGTTGAACTCCCGTCGGAACTCCTCCCTTCGATCATCGACACAGGAAAACAGTAAACAAACAGCATAGGAAAATATCGAAACAATAATCAGAGGGAAAATGCAGCAGGAAGAGATTCGTAACTTACAGGAAGACGAAGAAGGCACTCGGAGGCCTCTTCGGCTTGTTGGGATCCTTCACCTTCTTTCCAGGTTTTCCACCACGGGTTTTCAGCCTGAGAATTGACCAAAAAAATATCGAGGAAACAGTTGAAGTCCAAAAAAAGTAGCAGAAGAATATGGATCTCGGAGCCGATGCGGAAAACTCACCTCTTATCAGTGCTCTTGGCCTCAGCTTTGGATTGACCACCTTTCATTGCGAGTTCTGCGAGAGAAAACCGATGAGGATCGATCCAAATCAAGCGTGACTCGGCCTGAGTCAGACGACGCGAGTTACCTGTGAACGTTAGGGTTTCTATTTGACGGAGAAGAGAGATATCTTTATTCAGGTGCCTTTTTGATGGGGTTTTTAACAATAATAAACCACTTGCGATCGCACCAATTTCACGGTACACCACAAAAATTTTAGTTTTGCGTCGTAAATATATTGTATATTAGTTATATATTAGTCGTAATAAGGTCGCAAATTTTTTTTTTTTTTTTTTTGGTGTACCGTGAAATTGATGCGACCAATTAGGTTATTTGAGTAATTTTACCTTTTTGATGCGTTGTGTATCGTGAGTTTAAGGAGATTCCATATCTCAAAGATTAAAGAGAAGGGAAAAATATAAAAGCAGTTTGAAGTCCGCCTTCTGGCGGGATTTCAAAAAAGCCAAAAAAAAAAATCTCTCGCCACGTCGGCACACAAATATCGCTTCTTCTTTTTTTGACGATCAAATTTTCAACGACCGTAAAATGCCGCCATGTATAAATTTTTACAATAGGACTTTATATTATATAAAAGATGGGGATCTAAAAAGAATGAAAATAATTTTTCTAACATTTTAAAGGCGAAGTTTTAAATCTAAATTCGAAATATCTAATGGCTACTTCTATATCTGTTTTTTTTTCTGAGTTATAATTTTTTATTTAAAATGATTACCATTAGTTGAATTAAATTCGAAATCCACAATCATTAATTATTAATGGGATCCATGACCAATAAATTAGATAACTTTTTTTAGGAGATTACAAGGCAATAACTTTTTTCAATTCAAAACAGGCTATATTTCTGGCCCAAAAAAAGCGAGGATGTCACCATTATGATGGGCTTTAATTTTGGCCCATATGTGTGTGTATATATCGTCGCGGAGTTTGGTTACCACGTGGCATAGGTTTAAACCATTAAAAAAATTAAAATTTTTAAAATTTTCGTTTGAAAAGTTTATTTCAAACTTATAAAATTTACCAGTATAATTACTAAACTTAGTAACTGGTATCAAAAAAATTTCAAAAATATTAATTTAAAAATTAGTTTGAGAATCATAAAAACATATTTTGCAAGTTTATAAATAAATCTATTAGATAAAAAGTTTAAAATTTTATTTATCACCATTTTACAAATTTACAAACTGTTATGGGTTAAATCTTGTAATAAATTAGGAAATGAAACAAAAAAATATTCCGCATGACATGATGATGGTGTGGTCTACCACCAAAAGTAGATATGTGTATTGTACATGTAGAAACAGGACAAGGGTCAACGCCTCTCCGAAGGGACACGAAATTCATTCTACACCAACGCCTCTTTTGCCAAACCAACGATAGATACGTTCTTATTCAATAATTAGTGATCCGGTCGTTGAGAAGTGACAAAATCATCGTCAAAATGTTGAATTCGATTCCACTAGTGGAGATGGATGTAATTTCTGTACGAAAATGGTTCATATATTAAAGTTGATTCCGGATCTAAAAAGGTTGTATCCGGAATAAAGACCGAAAAAATCATATTAGTTATAAAAAAACAATAGATACGACCTCATCAAATATTTTCAATCAATGAAAAAAGTAGGTGGTTGTGCAAGCTTCGGATTGAATAACATTTTTAAATGTAAGTCAATAAGTCATTTTTCGGATCATTTTTTCAACCGTTAATTAACTAGTAATAGAACTACCAATTTATGATGATAATTTTTAATTATATAAAGAAGAAAAAAGTATAGAATTATATGATACGAGGAAATATCTCACATTCAAGTTCCGTTACTAATTATATTCCGTAGTTTCGAATATTCATTTATATTTCGTGGCAAGATTTTTTTAGCTGCTATTCCGCTATTAGATTTTTTTTAGTATTAATTGCGGTGAGATTTTGTTTTTTGAATTCCGTTAGTAAGAGGCACGAAATATCAACATTGATCAAGATTCGAATCATACGCATTATTTTAAAAATATATTTTATATGTCAAGAGAATCATACGATTTTTTATGATATTAGAAACTTTATCATATGCTTTTTTTAAATCATAAAAAAAAAGTATACGAGGAGATATAAATTAGGGATAATCGCATCGAAATACTTGAACTTTTATAAAAATCTCACATAAATACCTGAACTATAAAATTATCATATAAATACCTGAACTTTTCATAACTCCCACATAAATACCCAAACTTTTAAATTTTTTCCAAATCAACCATTTTACCGTTAACGTCGTTAGACGTTACTGTTCACTCATAAAAAAATTGATGACTCGGCAATGACTCAGCAAAAAACCTATTGACTCAGCAAAATATTGCTGACTCAGCAAAAAATATTATTAAATATCTAAATTTTTATCTACATATATTTAAATTAATATATATATATACACATTAAAAATAAAATTATTTATAATTAATAAAATATATATACACATAACTAAAATATATATATATCATTACAAATACATATATATTAAAATAAAAATAGTTATAATTAAATTTATATACACACATAATATACATATTAAAATAAAAATAATTATAACTAACATATTTATATATAATATATATATGTTAAAGATAATATTTATATGTATACATATTAGTTATATATACAAAATATACATATACAACTAATATATATATAATTATAGTTAGTTATATATACAAAATATACATATACAACTAATTAGGGGTTTGTATATAATTATAATTAGGGGTTTGTATATATAACTATTTATAATTATATATATTAGTTGTATATGTATATTTTGTATATATAACTAATATATATACATATAAATATTATCTTTAACATATATATATATATATATATATTATATGTATATATGTTAGTTATAATTATTTTTTTAATACATATATTATGTATGTACATAAATTTAATTATAATTATTTTTATTTTAATATATATGCATTAGTAATGATATATATATATTGTAGTTATGTGTATATGTATTTTATTAATTATAAATAAATTGTTTTAATATATATTTGTATATATATATGTGAATTTATATGTATATATTAATTTTAATATATGTAGATAAAAATTTGAATATTTAATAATATTTTTTTGCTGAGTCAGCAATTTTTGGTGAGTCAGCGGGTTTTTTTTGCTGAGTCATTGCTGACTCAGCACTTTTTTGTCGAGTGAACAGTGGCGTTTAACGCCGTTAACGGATGAATGGTTGATTTGGAAAAAAAATTAAAAGTCTGGGTATTTATGTGGGAGTTATGAAAAATTCATGTATTTATATGATAATTTTATAGTTCGGGTATTTATGTGAGATTTTTGTAAAAGTTTGGGTATTTAAATGCGATTATCCCTATAAATTATAATAAGACGTGAATAAAAAGGGAAGATATGATGGGACCAGTGCCTAACCATGGGAACGTATTTTCCTCCTCGTGTTTTGACAAATGTGAACCCCCCTGCTTGTGTTCACACATTTGCCTTTTATACCGTATAAACCGCTCCCCATCTTACGCTTATTTTAATTTTAATTTCGAATTTTCGAACCTTTGTATTAGTACTTTTAATTTAATATTGTTATCGTTTGTTCTATGCCATTAAATTACAGTGGAAATTGCATTGATGTCAACAAAAAAAAAACAAATAGATGGAAGGGTTGAATCAAAGGAACGACGATGGAAAATATTATAGGGTTGGTGGTGGACAAGAAATGACGATCCTTTAGAAAATCTCCAAGAATCAAAGCATGCCCATTTCCATTTGGCACTTGTATTAAAAATTATGAATTAAGAAAAATGTAATTCTATATAATTGTAAGAACCTACACTTTTCAAAAATCGACCATCTAAAAAGGTTGCATTGACTTTTTTGGGTCAATTATTTGGTCGTCTTTTGAAAATAAAAATTTACTGGTGCAATGTTAAAAAGAATTCAAGAAAAATATGAATTATGATATAGGTATTTTCCCCAAAATTACCAAAAAAACAAAAGGACAGAGAACCAAACCAAGTTCTTGTTGTTGATAAATGTGTGTCTTTGGTCCCTTTTTTTTAATTTATTAGGAATCGACCAAAATAATATCACTCGGTGATTGATCAGAGTCACTTGTTGTTTGTTGTGGTTCATGTCTCTGAAAAATCACATGAAATGGGTCTTTGCTTTTCATGCTTCTTCTCTCCCAGCTCCACCAGCTTCCGCAATCATGGTTTCTTCTTCTTCTTCTTTCATGGGTTTTTTAGATTGGTTCTCGTTATTGACTCTTGAGATTTTATTGTCTGGTTGTCTTCTCAAAACAGCAGTATCAAACAATCACAGCAGCAGCACCGGAACAGAGTTCTCGTCGGCGACTGCGACGACAACGACGAGCAGCAGCGGCGCCGGTGGACGGAGCCAGATCTCGGAGGGGGAGAGCTCCGTCTCTGGCGTCGGGACGAGCGATTCCGGTCAGATACTGGAGACACCGAATCTAAGAATATATAGTTTCTCCGATCTGAGGACAGCGACGAGGAACTTCGGACCAGAGATGGTGTTGGGTCAAGGAGGGTTCGGCAAAGTATACAAGGGCTGGGTCGATGAGATAACACTGTCTCCTTCGAAGGTGGGTTCCGGCATGGCCGTCGCTGTCAAGAGACTGAACTCTCAGAGCCTTCAAGGTCTCGCCGAATGGCGCGTAAGCTCCGTTTCTGCTCTCATGGCTTGGCACGCTCACGTGGGCATGACGTCATGCATTACACTTTCATATATATATATAGATACATACATGCGTTGTGTGTAATTGTTGGCAGTCAGAGATCAACTTCTTGGGGAAGCTCTCGCATCCAAACCTGGTGAAGTTGCTGGGATACTGTTGGGAAGATAAAGAGCTGCTCCTCGTTTATGAGTTGATGCCGAAAGGCAGCCTTGACAATCATCTTTTCCGACGTGAGATTCGATATATTATCGGTCGAATTCTCGACGGAAGACGAGAGATTGAAGGTGGATCCTGAATCGGGTTTTGGGACATTATGCAGGGAATGCCGGGGTTGAACCGTTGTCTTGGGACACAAGGCTCAAGATTGCAGTAGGCGCAGCTCGCGGACTCGCGTTTCTTCATGGCTCGAACCGACAAGTCATCTACCGTGACTTCAAAGCCTCTAATATCCTCCTCGACTCGGTCAGTTCCGAGTCCAAATAGATATCGTTTGGGTTTGAGTATCACCATGTTTGGTTTTCGATATCAATGTGGGATGTTTTGTTGTCAGGATTATAATGCGAAGATATCGGATTTTGGGCTGGCGAAACGAGGGCCTTCGCCCGAGAAATCACACGTTACGACACGGATCATGGGCACCTACGGCTACGCTGCTCCCGAATACATGGCCACAGGTACGTACATACACAAGCACAACCTCGAACAAGCTATTGTTTTTTAATGTTCTTCCATTATATATATAAGTAGAGTTGTGCCCTTCATCTATGTATCTCTGACCCAATTGCAGGTCATTTGTACGTGAAGAGCGACGTGTACGCGTTCGGGGCGGTTCTACTGGAAATGATGACGGGACTGAGAGCACACGACACGAGACGAGGAGACGGGAAACAGAGCCTGGTCGAGTGGCTAAGACCAAGCCTCTCGAGCCGAAGCAAGCTGTTGCGTGTAATGGATACGAGGATCAAAGGCCAGTACTCTTCCGACTCCGCCACCGAGTTGGCTCGGATCACTCTCTCCTGTCTCGAGCTCGACCCAAAGAAACGCCCTCACATGTCGCAAGTCCTCCGCGTTTTGGAAAACGCCCGCCGCATCAACGTTCCCAAACGCACCGCTCCAAACGCTTCTCCGCGTTCCGCCGCCGCACCGCCGCAAACGCATGGCCATCGGTATAGATATCAAGCGGCTGCTGCCGGCGGTCATCGGCGTTCTCCGGCACGGAGGGATTTCAGCCTTCCGCCGTCGGCGTAGCCTCGTCGATCAACTACTACTCTTTCTTTTCTTCTATGGATATTCATTCTTTGGAAATTTTATCGTGTTTATATATTTATGTATTAGTCTATCATATTTTTATTTAATTAAATTATTTTTATATAAAACTTAAAAGAATTTGATATTAGTTTCACTTGTCATCTAATAAAAACAGAATCATATCTCTATTTTTTTTATGGTATTATCAATATAATAGTAACAATTTTCAAGGGATAATTGTCTCTTGATTTTTTTTTAAAGTTATTTGACTTTTCTTTGGAAATTTCATATTAATATTTTTGTTATGGATGTGAAACATGTGGATATACATATATATATATATATGCATCAAACTCTCATTAAATTTAAATAAAAGGATAATAATAAAAATGATAGATAATTATCTGTCTTTTCTTGTGGTGCGCATATTTTCAACCAACGTAGAATATTGTTTTGTTGGTCTTCAATAGGATCAAATGGAGATCCACGTGTTTGTCATTTAATTTGGAAAAAAAAATATGGCATTATATGAATAATAATATATTACATGTACGATTGGCGTATATTGACCGGATGACAGATTAAGACTGCATCCAAAATGAAATTAGGGTTTTTTAGGAGAATTTCCTAATTGTTTTTCCCCATCACAGATTTTCATTGGAAATAAAGTGAAAAAAAAAATTGGAGTCCACTAAGTGCAGCGTCTCTCTCTCCCTCTATTTTGCCTCGCCTACGGCGATTCCTTCGCGCCATCGCCGGTCTTCGCTTCGCCGTCAGCTATATTTTCCGACGATATCCACGAGGCGGAGAGATTCGTTGACGAAAACGTCAGCGGTTTGGTTTGGGATCTGACGTGCCTTGTCGGGGTTCCATCAGGGGCTGGCGAACGTTGTCGGTGAGATCGGCGTATTCTTGAGTTTAATTCGAGGCTAGGTTTTCAGTGGCGGGAACACAAATCATGCCCTCATAATATTCTCCCTTCTTCGGATCGCTCTCGGTATTATTTGGCGTTCCAAATCTGAGTTGACTTGTTTGGTCCATTTGAGTAATGTCTGAAACTGGAAAAAGCGTTAACATTCACAGGTGATTTGTCTGTTTAATGATTCAGAGGGAGAGAGAGGGTTGCATGTTTCGAATCGGCTGCGAAGCAACTGATTTCTGATCGCTCGTTCTCTTGGAGGTGAGTTCTTGATGTCTTTGGAGAAGTTGTTAGTACCGATTCTTTGTTCCAATGCCAAAATTGGGAAATCGTGTTTACCCTGTGTTCATTGATCATGGAATTGGGTTTTGCCTTATAAAGAGTGGGGCTTTCCCTGTAAAAGTTGGTACTTTTTTACTTTCCGGGCAAAAATAAGAACAGTTTGGTACCCGAGATGTCTCATATGGATCCAATTTACTGTAAACCCGAGGAATTAGAAATGCTTTAGCGTCTGCCTTTGCTTAGTATGTCTTGATTTGTTATTCTTGTAGTTGGTCGTGTTTAAGATGATATGAAATATGTTGTTTTTGATGATATCTGTGAAGTTAAAGGTGAGAAGGTATATCCAAAACAAAAGGGTAGGATTGATTCTTATTGCCTTTGATTTGCTTCTTGCTTGTGTTTTCTTGATTATCCTTTCGAAATTTGTTTTGTTGATATTGATAATCTTTGTTTAGCCAAGGCTGGAGACACATTCACAGGTTCATTCTGTCTTCTTTTTCCCAACAGGTAGGGATCCGCGATGGCTACTGAAGGTTTGTGTAAATTTATTAAGAGATATGCAGAGGGCAGAGTTAATCAAGTGCTTGAACATCTCAGCGGGTTTTCCAGAAGATGCATGTTTCGTGTCATCTCTATGGGCTCGGTTCCTTCCCATCTTGCGTTTATCATGGATGGAAACCGGAGATATGCTAAGAAACATGGTCTGGCAGAAGGATCCGGTCACAAGGCTGGGTTTTCAGCTCTCATGTCAATACTCCGGTACTGTTACGAGTTGGGTATCAAGTATGTGACCATATACGCCTTCAGCATCGATAACTTCAAAAGAAGACCTGAGGAGGTTCAGTCTCTTATGGATTTGATGCTGGAAAAGATCGAGTCTTTGCTTGAGAAAGAAAGCATCATACAGGAATACGGCATGAGAGTGTATTTTATTGGCAACTTGAAGCTTTTAAGTGATCCTGTGAGAGCTGCAGCGGAAAAGGTCATGAAGGCCACTGCCAAGAACAGCCGGGTGGTGCTTCTGGTTTGTGTTGCCTATACTTCTACTGATGAGATTGTGAATGCCGTTGAACAATCATGCTTAAACAAGTTAGATGAAATTCCAGCGAGGGTTAGTCACGGCAAGTTACAGGGCGATATGGAGAATCACGACCATACAATACGTGTGGTGGACATAGAGAAGAACATGAGAATGGCCGTGGTACCTGATCCAGATATACTGATCCGTAGTTCAGGAGAGACGAGGCTGAGCAATTTCCTCTTATGGCAAACCAGTCACTGCCCATTGTACTCTCCTGCAGCATTGTGGCCTGAGATTGGTCTGTGGCATTTGGTTTGGGCCATACTGAATTTCCAGAGGAATCATTCGTACTTGGAGAAGAAGAAGAAGCTAACATGATGCACCTTCATCGACGAGAGGAACAACCTCTGAAGAAGGTTGTGAAGTGAAGATAACCATTTTTTTTTTCTGGTTTGTATGTGACATTCATATGCTATATTGTCTCTATCAAGCGAATCGGGATGGAATTTAAACAAAAAAGATCATATCTTTCATACAGAAACAGCAGACTGTTTTAACATAAACTAGTAAGGCTCTGACACTAATATTCGAACCAAGACACACTTCATCTGATGAGAAGTGTTCTACAAGGTATGTACAGAGAAGCCAAACCGGTGATATACCAAGAGAGAATCCGAACATCACTTACAAACACAAGAGCAAGACGAGTTTAGATAGACGGTTACTGACCGGGAGGGTTCCCGAGAAGATGTTCAACCACAGCATGAATGTTCCCGGCTGTAGCCATCAGGGCTCTGACGTTTTCCTGTGTCGAAGAATCCCCATTTCTCGAAGCTGCAAAAGCAGTGTGGCGTACAGTTCTTCCGGTGGAACTGGACATGAGAAGTGAGTGTGAGCATCAAACGGATGCGGATTCAACGGGGAAAAAGGAAGGTAAGTACTGTTAGGACGCTGAGGAACCGCCAGGCTGCCTGACCCGAGTCTATCAGACATGTTCATCGGCATCTCTAGTCCTCTTTCATTGTCATTGGAAGCTGGTGCAGGTGCTCCTGATTCACTTCCTCTGTTTAGTAACTATTCCTGAGACTATATCATCTCTCTCCCATCGATGGGAACTATAACATTCTAAGGCTTTTTAAGTTTAACTCCTAAGCATCTCTCAGCAGAGAAGAATGGGTCTTTCACTAGCTGGTGGTCCAAGTCTAAAACTAAAAAACGAATACTTCCTCATTTTCGACGAGAGACTTTTGAGTCTTGACAAGAGTACCTGTAGCTCCACCAGCTGGATCACTCTACCTACAGGAGAAAAACCAAATCAACGAGAATGCTAAGCGAAGAGCTTGTTCAGATGCAAAATTCGCAGTAGCGGGACGAGAAGATGGATCTAGAAAACGGGTGTGTGGAAACTCGAACACATTAAGATTAAACGAAGGAAAAGCTTTAAAGTGCTTACCGCGTACTTTGAAGACGACCCAGTTGGGAGAGGAGAGATTGCTGGAATGCTAACAGTTGCTGCAAGAAACATCAAGTAAACATTATCTAGGATGTCCCAGGAAAATATCTCACTACAGAATGTTCTTGACATAGATTTTAGTGTTATGTAAACCACAGGAGAGCGCTTCACATTTAGAATCTCACAGTCAGGATGTGCATTAATGTTATATCCAGCAATTAACTCCAGATTAGGACGCATACCTGCATCATTTGACGCACAAAATCCAGGGTTTGGAGCATTTCTCTCAGCTGAATATTGGAATCAAGGATGTCATGGATCTGCGGTTGAGGTTTAGAATCTGCAGTATCGGAAATTACTAGAACTCATTATACATATTATATAAGTTGAGATTATCATGACATGAATCATAAGATAAAACCAAACTACCTGATTCATGTACTGTGGGTTGGACCAGAGTCTTTGCAACATCTGGCTAATAGCCAGGTTTTGCATGAACTCATTAAGAAGGTTGTTGGGATCTGGAAAAGCTCCAAACATGTTGCCAAGTTCAGGAAGACCGGCTCCTCCCGTGGCATCATTCGTTCTCGTGGTGTTGGCCTGGGCTCTTCCATTTACTATGTTGGTATAAACAGAATACATAATAAAAGTTATATAAATGCTCTCGAGGAGAGAAAACACGAAAGAGTGCAGGAGAATTATTGGCGGGATAGTATTCGGTGCAGGAGAACAATATTGGCGTTTTCAGAAGCGGCAGATGATAATTGATTGATCCATCTCCAAGGAGTGCAGCAAACGGGTTCGGGGTATCATTTCTGGCTGTAGTATCATTCAAACGAGGCTCTTGAGCATTCTCAGACATTCGCCTGAGCATGTTGGACCACTCGGGAATCGCCTCTAGGTTTCTCATTGCTCTGTCAGTGTTCCACCTCAGTTTATGCATAGGCTCGGGATTCCTTCTGGCCTCCACAGTTTGGCAAAGAATTCTCAGAGCATTCAGGAGGTCGGCAAGCTCGGGATTGCAATCTATGATTTGCCGCATCTGGCGAGTGTTCATAATCATATCTCGCATGAAAGCGGGGTTGTTCATCAGGCTCTGGAATCTAGGTATGTTCATGATTTCTCTCATAATGTTGGAATTCCTAAACTGTTCTGGCTCCTGCTCGAAATCCAGAAGCCCAGTTCCAAACAAGCCACCACTGCCACCTAAGTCACCTAAGCCATCCAGACCAAGTCCATGGTCAGATCCTCCAACTGACACATAACCACCCGAACCCACAGTGCTTGGGTTATTCTGTGTCGGGTTTGGAGATGGAGAAGGGCTCGGACTGCCAGTGTTGGCTGACGAAGTTGCGAAACCACGAACCAAGTGGACAGTATGATCAGCCTCCATACCTATTGTCCGAAACAATATGGATTCAAATGAATTAGCAATCAGGCTAACCAGCATCAAGGAACATCACATGTACACAAACAATGTTCTGATTGGAACCGATCAAGCCGAAACATAACCTAATTGCATTCCTTTCCTATATTCAAAAGACGCAAACTTTAGCAGAAAAAGGGAACAAGAACGGAGAGCAAATGCAATACCATAGCTAACGAGGGTTTGATCGTCCTTCAAGATCCGACCTTTGTAAATAAGTCGCTGCTGATCAGTGGGGATGTCACATTGCTGAGCAAGAACGGATTTGAAGGAGCCGACAGTGGAATCAAGCTTGATCTGGACGGAGAATTGCGAGCCGTTGGAGCACCGGATATAGACGGAGACCTCTCCTCCACCGCCGTAGAATCATGAACAGATGAATCACCAGGACCGCCTTCTCCTCCTCCCATATTTCTCTCCCTTTTTTCCCCTTCCCTCAAGCCAAAGACACCGAGGACAGGAAAGAATCGAAATCGATGGGATCGGAGCCGCACGGAAGTTACGAGCAGCAAAATGAAAATCGCATAAGAAAATGGGAAAGATTGATTTCATAAAAAAAAAAAAATGGGAAAGATTGTTAAAACAAAAAAAAAGGGAAAGATTGAGCAGCAAGAATCAACTTACCGAAACAGATACCCACTCGGCCTACTGGGGGGGCTCCCAAACCGGGTTCAAACCCATTGGGCATAACTTATATATATAAAAAAAACTTACCGAAACAGAGCTTCATTTGGTTAACGGGTTCGGTTCCACTGAACCGGGAATGAAACCGGGCCAATTGTGAACCGCACCGGGTCGATAGGTTAAAAGTTCCGCTAAGCTTTGGTTAAGTGAACTGCAGTAACATTGTCGCGGAAAGAGCAATACCAGATGCATAGCGCGCCATGATTTCGCCTCCTTTGTCATGGCGATTTTCCTCAGGCGTAAAGGTTACATCTTCTTCCGGCCTCAAACCCTAGTGTCGGTTTTCTTCCAGGTGGGTTCTTCTTATTCTTCTCGGTTTCTCTTTGTTTTGGTTTGGTCCTGAGTCTCCGTGGGGCATTTGTTCAAACACCTTATCGGCGGCCTTTTTTTTGTTGTCCCGGTCTCTTGTTGTAGAGGAACAATTGTACACTTGCTGAGGGAGACATGGGCGAAAATTCTGTCCTGCCTCCAGGTATGGACGAAGACATTTCTTCACGAGCTGTTATGTTTCTCGAGATATACTTAACTGGGTTGGCCTGTCTCAACTTAGTTGCCGTCCTGAGCTGTTATCTTTTCTTGTATGTGTTTATGGATGATGATGCAGTTGATACATCGAAATGGAAAAAGATAAACGCTACTGCAGTTGGCATCAAAGGTTCCATGATCTCGCCATCCTCATGGACTGTCTTAAGAGTCCTCAGAAATCAAGGTTGTGTTTTTGTCACTTTAAAGCTTGCATATCCTCATTCCAAGAGTTACATACGAAATATCAATGGGAATAGAAGAATAAAAAACAGAATTTAGTTGCTTGGATGAGAAATATCTCTGCTCAATGTTCTGGGGTTTCATTCTTGTAGTGGAAGGTTCTCAGATGGGGCTGTTTTAGTAAGACAGCTTAGAAACAACTTACTGAAACATCATCTACTTTGATGTCTGCTCATTTCGGTTATTCTCCTCTGTTCTGAGTATACAGTGTCTCTAGTGGGTTGATGTGTGCTGGTCCTTATCTTTGATGTTATTCAGGTTTCGAGGCCTACCTGGTTGGTGGGTGTGTACGGGATTTAATACTAAATAGAGTGCCAAAAGATTTCGATGTGATCACCACAGCTAATCTTAAGGAGGTATTGTGCCTTGCCCTACTCATCTTCCTGATAGTCGTTTGGATGTCTCTAACTTATAGTGATATTCATGTCTTTTGAGGACCTGATAATTTGATTTGGTTTGATTGACTTTGTGTTTTATTAATAGATCCGGCGGCAGTTTAATCGTGCTCAGATCGTTGGAAAACGTTTTCCTATATGCCATGTGTGGATAAGAGGTTCTATAACCGAGGTCATTCAGTGATTCTTAATATCTTACATTACTATTCCTTCCGAGAAAGAATTGCCGAGCTGTGTTTACATCTCCTGTTGTAGGCTCACGTTTGAATTCGGTTTCTTCTTTTCGTGTACTGTCTGATTCTCCCAAGATAGGTATCCAGTTTTGATACTGTGGCACAGACTGCTGGTGACGATGAAAATGATATAGAGAGAGGCGAAGGTAAGGGCAGCGTTCCAGAGAATGCTGAAGAAAATGAGAAACTTACTCTCCCTAAGATGCTCCGTGGCTGTAATGAAAAGGATATCAATCGTTGGAGGAACAGCATGCATCGTGACTTCACGATTAATAGGTGTGACATCTGCGATCTAGTCAACTGTCCATGTCTTCATACTAAGACATGATGATGTTGGGTGGCAAAGGGACCATTTATCTTTGGCTACAGTCACTAACGTTCAACTTACTCTTGGTGTTAATTCTTACTGCAGTTTATTCTTCGATCCCTTTGATTTTAAAATCTACGATTACTCAAATGGAATAGAAGATTTAAAGGCCCTAAGGGTAACCGTCTTTATTCCATTCATCCGTGTCATAGCTTCATGGATTTTTGTATAGCATGATTTTGTTTAACCTTAAACTTGTTTGTGCTCTTATTTGCTATCATGTACCCAGCTCCGTACTCTAATCCCCGCGCAACTGTCTTTCGAAGAAGATTGTGGTAGGCCTTACTAGTTCTTTCCTTGTTCTCATCTTCTGTGTCCTTGCATCTAGATTAGCGGCTTAATGTAGTACCCTGTGTCTAATCTGCCCGGCCTGTGGTCTTTTCTAATGCAGCCAGAATTCTCAGGGGCTTAAGAATTGCTGCTCGCTTGGATCTATTATTTTCAAAGGATATTGAGACCGCAATACCTAAATTTGTATACTCTATTGCAAGTTTGGGCCCGGTATTTTACCAGCTCTGTTTGGATGTACTTAGACTTGGTGTTTGTATGTTGAAATATTTTGTTGTTGCCTGGAACAAGTCTTGATCCTAGTTCTTATGATTACAAGTTCTCCGTTTGTTCAGGTTAGGCTAATGATGGAAATGAACTACATGCTTTCTTATGGGGCTGCTGGGCCTTCCATCCTTTTGCTGAGGAAGTTCAGTCTACTTGAACCGTTGCTTCCATTTCAGGTACGTGATTCACTCGATTGTGAATCTTTTGACTCGTCCTTTTGAGCACTAAATGAGGTGAAATTTGGTTTCAGGCGGCATACCTTGAACAGGCTAGTAAAGCATCTCCTTTGAGGTCCACAATGCTAATGGTGAGATATAACCCCAGGACAGAAGATTATTCTATGATGTCATTTGACTGTTGTATTCATCGGACTTCATCTTTTCTCTGCAGAGATTGCTCTCCAATGTGGATAAATTGGTTTTCTGTGATCAACCTGCTGATTGCAGACTATGGTGAGTTGCTCATCGTTTTAATAACATACGAAGTTTTTTTCTCGAAGAGTGTTGTTTATGGTTGATTATGTTCATGTTTGCGACGTGGAACAGGATTGCACTGTTGGCTTTTCACACCGCGTTAGTACGTGACCCTCAAGATGCCCTTGTAATCTCTGCTTTTGGCTCGGTACTCTACCATGGGCACTGGAAGGAAGCAATCAGATATGCTAGAGAACATGAAAAATCACTTGCCAGATTTTCTCCCGAGGTCTCTGAATCATCTGTGAATAGGTCCGACGAAGAACTTGCAGAAGCAGTTGCCCAGTTCACATTTTTATTACAAGACTCCATAAATGTTCTGACCGGAGTGGAAGAACTCCAAGAAGTACTTTCCCTATACCCAGGAACCAAACACTGGGGCCGGGTAAGCGCATCATCCCAAACTATATGCCACTCTGCATCATTTTTTCTCGTCTTTGTTGCTGTTTATTTGACTGAAAACCTCGGTGTGGTAGGTGTTCATACCGAAGAGAAAGGCGAAAGAGGTGGCAGGAGCTTTTGATGAGTTGGTGACTGATATAGAGTCCTATGAAAGTGGAAGGGAGGGGGACTCGATCAACTATCTCTCGTTGGGAAAGGGAGATCCATGCGAGATCAGATTCGTACTCGGGAAAGTTATTCTCGATACAATGACAGAGCCTGTTGCCATCCAACAAGGCGCTACCAAGACGCAACATGACAAGAAGCGGAGTCAGTCTAACGTGGTCCATAATAAGCAGAGAGAAGCAATAGTTCCCGAGCCGAAGCAAAAACCTTCAAAGAGGCCGAAACCGGATGATAATAGTACAGCCGCCAAGAAGATAACTCAACATGTTCCGGCTCCCGACAAGAAAAACGACAAATCAACTCCACCCGATCTGGGAAACAATCATCATCAGAAGGACACGAAACGAGGTCAAGAACCAGAAGCAGCAGTTCATCCAGAGCGGAGGCGAAAGACATGGAAGAAGATCAAACAAGAAGAGTTAACGTTTCCAGCCGGTGGTGGCGATGCAATCTGTAACCTTCTAAATAAGATAGGTGGGAGATCAGACACAGCGGTCAACGAGCCGGTCAACGTTGACACATCTTTGAAAACTAATAAGTGTAAGAGACCGGCGGCTGCAGTTAAACTCTCCGGTCTCTTTAAGTAGCGAAAGATTGAGTTTTTTTAGATTTCCCATTTCTCACCCTATAGTTTTTATCATTTCTGAATTGGCCCCTTTAGTGGAGAGAGGAATTTTGGGCTAGAGATATTTATACATTTTTTTTTTGCATAAATTAAGATTTTTATGATATAGTTTTTGGTTGGCATCCGAATAAGGGAATTTAATCATTTTCCTAACCAAAACAAAAGTGTGTATCGTCACTTTGTACCTTGATAAAAAAAGGGCAGATAAATTCATTTGATTAAAAGAAGGAAGATATTCATTAGATGGGGATTAATTAAGATAAGTTTGTATATATTTAGCATAAAATAAATCTAATTGAATATATTACATGGGATGATGATATGTAACAAAAACAAAATCCAACTTCTTCTATGAACAGTCAAAAACACACATTGGAAATGAGAATATAGTTAAGACAGCAGACAAACCAGTACCACCTACCACATACGACGTCGTTTTTATTGAAATATTTATACTTCCCCATTTTCTTTTCTGCCACCAACTCGCCCTTATATTTCCTCGGCCGTCACTTTCTTCCTCGACACCGTCTCAGCATTTTTGTAAGCGAATAAATACCAAAGCTTTCGGAATCTCAGGATCGACGATCATGGCGGCGTCGGCAAACTCTTTCCTCCTCCATAATCAAACACAGATCTCGGCTTTCACACCCAAATCCACCTCCCAAACCCTTCTTCATCTCAGCAAACCATGCACTTTGTCCCTCGCTGGAAAAACCAAGCCTGCCGCCGTTAGATGCGCTGCCTCAACGACCCATGTCCAGGATCCGGCCAGATCCGGCGCCGTTGGATCCCAGGAGCGTGTCTTTAACTTCGCGGCGGGGCCCGCCACGTTGCCGGAGAATGTCCTGTTGAAGGCTCAATCGGAGCTCTACGATTGGCGCGGATGCGGGATGAGTGTCATGGAGATGAGCCACAGAGGGAAGGAGTTCCTCTCGATCATCCAGAAGGCGGAATCGGATCTCCGTCAGCTCCTGGAGATTCCGCTCGAATATTCCGTCCTGTTCCTTCAAGGTGGCGCAACCACCCAGTTCGCCGCCGTGCCACTCAATCTCTGCAAGGCCGAAGACACTGTCGATTATGTGGTTACAGGGTCGTGGGGAGACAAAGCGTACAAGGAAGCGCAGAAGTACTGCAAGCCCAAGGTGATCTGGTCGGGCAAATCCGAGAAGTACACCAAAATCCCATCTTTTGGTGAACTGGAGCAGAGCCCAGGTGCCAAGTATTTGCATATTTGCGCCAACGAAACCATCCATGGAGTCGAGTTCAAGGATTATCCTGTTCCTAAGAACCCTAACGGCATCTTGGTTGCTGATATGTCCTCGAACTTCTGTTCGAAGCCCGTGGACGTGTCCAAATTCGGCGTGATTTACGCTGGTGCGCAGAAGAACGTCGGTCCCTCTGGTGTCACCGTTGTTATCATCAGGAAGGATTTGATCGGAAACGCTCGGGATATCACCCCGGTGATGCTGGATTACAAGATCCACGACGAGAACAGCTCGTTGTACAACACGCCTCCGTGTTTCGGAATTTACATGTGCGGGCTTGTGTTTGAGGATCTGTTGGAGCAAGGCGGTCTGAAGGAGGTGGAGAAGAAGAACCAGAAGAAAGCTCAGCTGCTGTACGACGCCATTGATGAAAGCAAAGGTTTTTACAGGTGCCCGGTTGAGAAATCCGTCAGGTCGTTGATGAATGTCCCATTCACATTGGAGAAGTCAGAGTTGGAGGCTGAATTCATCAAGGAAGCTGCCAAGGAGAAGATGGTGCAGCTCAAGGGACACAGATCGGTCGGGGGAATGAGAGCTTCCATCTACAATGCAATGCCATTGGCTGGTGTGGAAAAGCTTGTCGCTTTCATGAAGGATTTCCAGGCAAAGCATGCTTGAATGAATCCAACAGCGCTCCACTCCACTCCATTTCTGACATGAAAGGAGATTTTATATTTTTTGGTATTTGCTTTTGTGGTTTATGTTGTCTGGTGATAAAGCACATGATGCTTGTGATCTTTTCTTGTTCTGCAATTTCATTGCCTGCGAGATTTTCTGGTATTAAGCTTTAGCTTCAATTAGACAATTAGGATTCAAGGGAATCATGCACACACTCTTCTGTGTTTGTCTTGTTTCTGTCTTAATAAAAGATTGAAGAAGTGTTGTTGTCACTCGCTGGAACTTCCAAATATTCATAAATATCCATGACTTGGGAAGAAAAACGTTTTTCTGAAGTATTTATAGGGAAACTCCTCTGAGCCGACAGCGCTGAAAGCCATTGTCTTGATGCCACTGTATATAAAGAAGCTTGCAACTGCAAGTGATGGGGTGGGGGCACGTTCTCATGTTGTCCCGTTTGTGTGTCCGTTCCTTGAAACTCCTGAAAATGGTAATCCTATTTTCAAGAAACGAAAATAGCAGATGCAGAATCAATGGTGGGAGCAAAATTTACCATTTTGTTTTGCACCTCGATGAGCAACGGCTACATGTTGAAAGAACTCTTTGGTAGCATCTGCATATTCATTCAAGAATCATAGTTACAAAGCCAAGCGAGAGAACATATAATCAGCACACCTGATTCAGACTTTACCGTGTTTCATTGTCAGAGACGGGTCTTGCTCATTGACAAACCCAATCACTTTCGCAGGATTTCCAGCTACCATGCTTCAGACACCCCAAAGAGAATGTCCACTGTTAGTAAACACATGAAAAAAGCATTCCAAGGATGTTGATATTGAACTGTTTTGAAGGGTTGAGATGCATTCCTCTGTCCTGTCCTACCTATGCGAGGGAATGTCCTTTAACACAAGCGAGCCAGCAGCTACCATTGCACCAGCACCTATCCTTATGTTGCCGAGTATAGTCACAGAAGCTCCAAGCAGTGCTCCATCACCTACTTTTGGATGGCGGTCACCAGTTTCCTTCCCAGTTCCGCCCAAAGTCACGCCCTTCCAAGCGAAAATACAACTAGCATCGGTAAAAATATGACCATCTTGATTCTGGGTTCAACACATGATCTGCAGAAGAATCGAGAAGAGATGCTTACATGCAAAATCGAGACTCGGTTGCCTATAACAGCAGTCTCACCTATGACCACACCTGTTCCATGATCCAGCAATATCCCCTCGCCAATTTTAGCAGCTGATCAAATCAGATGTCAGGAAAAAAAACATAAACCCAGTAAGTGATTCTTGGAAAATATGGACACACCCCTGTACCCTTCCAGCGAGCAGAGCAGAAATACAAATAAGAGCATATGATAATCAAGAACCTAGCTTACCAGGATGAATGTCGATGCCAAAAACCTGCGAAACCAAGAGATGGATCATTACTGAGCCGAAATTCCAATTTAATGCTAACGGAAGAGGAAATTTAAGTTATGGAAGATAAACTACCTCGCTTATTCGGCTCTGCAGTGCTAGAGCTAACACTGTGCGCCCTTGATTCCACAATTTATGCGCAATTCTGTATGCCTGAATCCCATGATAGCCCTACAGAACAAAATCTTCCGGTCAATGGCCAGAGCAAATTCCCAAACAGCTGCTTAGTCCCTAAAAGACAAAGGCTTTACAAATGTTCAGTTACAGTATTACCTTCAGATAAAGAATAGCAGAACTATACGAGAGACAGGCAGGATCTCTCTCTTTAAATGCCTGCAGTAAGACAAAACCATGAAAGACAGCCTCAGACCACCATTAATGGAGCTTTCACATGAAGGGAAGAAGAGCATTTTACCTGGACATCGAGGCGGATCGAACTCTGAATACCTCTATCGTGCATCATAACATCATAGAAAATATCCATAAGTTGAGTTGCCAACAAGGTGGGGTTTTGGAGACGATTTGCAAGAACAAACCCCAAAGCTTGTTCCAAACAGTCATGAGATAAGATACTTGCATACAAGAAGCTGCTCAAAATCGGCTCCTTCTCTGCCTGGAACAAACATTCCCCATTGCTCGCATTTGCAATATTCAAGTTCATAGTGACATAATGCAACGACAACATTTTGGTAACATAGAAAAAGGGTATGATTCTCCATCTTGCTTTTCGTTATAATCAACGAAAAGGCACACTAAATCGATACACTGAAATCTGGAGTAAAGCTCAATTCATCAGGTTATGGTTAGGGTTTTTTGAGAGAGAAGACTCTCATAAAGCAATTCTTCAGGTTGTAAATCATCTTGGTTGATCAATAGATTGCTGCGTTTATCAATTTGTTACAGGTTTCTTACAGATTTGGTATTGAGATCCTAACAGGTTCGACCTTTGTAAAAGATTGAACCCTCGATCTCCCTGTTCCGTGATATTGAATCAGTTCTCTCAACAAGACAGACAAATTTTCACAAAAAAAAAAAAACAAGACAGACAAAGCCTCCGACAAACAATTTCCGACAAAATCAAAGTTTTGCTAAATCGCATGAACATTGAAAACCATAGAAATCCAAATTTTGTTCGATAATCAGACAGAGGGACCAACCTCAAGCTTAGCTTCTTCCCTTACAGCATCCCAAATGGGGTCAGCGCCCAAACAGGAGAAATTCACCAAAAGCGAGTCCGACTCAGCCTTCGGCGTCCCCCTAGCGTAAACCGGGAAAACCCTCTCGAAGGGAAACTCGTCGCCGTTCATCTCCGTATTGTCCCCGTCTTCTCCGGCGGAAGCTCTCCGGCAGAGGCTCCCCGAAAGAGAAGAAGAAGAAGAAGAAACAGAGCTCTCTCCACTCACACAACCCATGAATCCAAAAGAAGAGAAGGATGAAAAGAGAGCGCTTTCACGGAAGCGAGAACCGCCGTCGCAAGGCCATCAAAACCACTTCTATACCCTTTTTGGTTGTATCTGAATCCATGCTTGCTTATGCGTGGGAGACGAAGCAACGGCCACGGGAATATAAAAACACAAAAAAGGTAAGCACTTTTATTTTTGCTTTCGATGTCACTTTCCACCGCTTTGTATGTATGGCTCATAAGATGTGAGTGTTAGTGGGCCTTCTTAACGGAGCCCATTTGTCGATTCTGTGGGCCCCACCATCTCTTGACCGTAAATCAGTCCAAGTTCGTTATCCAAGTTTATTATTATTCTTATTCTTATTCTTCTTCTTATTATTATTATTCATCTTAAGAAATAAAAATAAAAATGTGAAACAATATTAATTTTCGCAGACATTCCCGCATGCGATTGCCAAAACGACCAAACGTTCATCTTTGCTGAAAACCTAAAAACAGAGACATCCTCCGACGAGACAACCCATCAATGGCGAGAAGATCCGGATCCATCCTCAAGCGCCTCCTCGCGAACCCGCCTTCTCCGCCGTCATTCGCTTCCCCTACCCGATCCATAACCTACATGCCTCGACCCGGCGACGGAACTCCACGCGCGGTCACTTTGATCCCTGGCGACGGCATAGGGCCATTGGTGACCGGAGCAGTGGAGCAGGTGATGGAGGCGATGCATGCGCCGGTGTATTTCGAGAGGTATGAGGTTCACGGGGACATGAAGAGGATTCCCGAGGAGGTGATCGAGTCGGTGAAGAAGAACAAGGTGTGTCTGAAGGGAGGATTGGCGACTCCTGTCGGCGGAGGAGTGAGCTCGTTGAATATGCAGCTGAGGAAAGAGCTCGACATCTTCGCTTCGCTCGTCAATTGCTTCAATGTCCCTGGATTGGCGACTCGCCACGAGAATGTGGATATCGTCGTGATCAGGGAGAACACTGAGGGCGAGTATTCTGGGCTTGAACACGAGGTTGTTCCTGGTGTTGTCGAGAGTCTTAAGGTACGTTGCTCAAGAAATTGTCTTGTCTTCTTCGTTTGGGGGCTCTGATTCAATTCCATGTAATATAACTCTGTTTCCTGTTGTATATCGTCACTGTTAACCCACTTCTCTGTTAAGCATGAATCTCTGTTTCAACTTTCACGCTTTGGTTGGCATTATGATGGGTTTTTTTCCTAAGAGATCGTCTTGTCGAAGAGACAACCTTTTTGGCCTTTCATACTATTTGTCTGTAGGTGATAACGAAGTTCTGTTCAGAGCGAATAGCGAGATATGCCTTCGAGTATGCCTACTTGAACAATAGGAAGAAGGTGACTGCTGTTCATAAAGCCAACATTATGAAGCTTGCGGATGGGCTCTTCCTTGAATCCTGCAGAGAGGTTGCCCAAAAATATCCCGGGATCACTTATAACGAGATCATTGTGGACAACTGTTGTATGCAACTGGTGTCCAAGCCCGAGCAGTTCGATGTCATGGTATACGTTCTACACCTTCTTTCTTACCTAACTTTACAACAGCCGAAACGGGTAATTGCAGAAGTATTGGAACTCTTTGAAAGTCTGAGTCTTTAGGTGCGCTAAATTGAAGCTTCCTTTCTAACTTAAGAAGGATTCATCTTGTTCGATATACACTTAAAATTTTCTCTGTGTTTTTTCCCCAGGTGACTCCCAATCTGTATGGTAATCTTGTAGCAAACACTGCAGCGGGCATAGCCGGTGGCACTGGAGTCATGCCAGGAGGTTCTGTCCATACTTCACGAACCCTGTTGAATCTCTCTCATAACCTCCACAACAGTACTAGTTTTGAGTGCTTAATCTGGAATCTTTTGGGTCTGATACTCGATGGTCTGTTGGTCGTTGCAGGCAATGTCGGAGCAGAATACGCGATATTCGAGCAAGGTGCATCGGCAGGGAACGTGGGGAATAGAAAGCTAGAGGAAGAGAAGAAAGCAAACCCGGTGGCTCTCCTCCTCTCTTCTGCAATGATGCTGAGACATCTGCAGTTCCCTGCCTTTGCAGACCGGCTCGAGACTGCGGTCAAACAAGTTATAGAGGAGGGAAAGTTCCGAACCAAAGATCTCGGAGGTAACTGCACCACCCAAGAAGTCGTGGATGCTGTCATAGCCGCTCTAGACTGACTCACGAACTCAATACAGTTTTTGCCTCTACGGTCTTAAGTTGCGGAAAAAAAGTTTTATGTTTTTTTTTTTCAGGCAACTCTCTTAGCCGATGTCTCCTCCATGATTCTTTTTTCTTTTTAACAATAATATAATGATCTTGAGTTTGATCTCTGTGATGTCGGACAACAATAATTACAGAGTACTTATGTTAGAGCCAAAGAGAGACAGAGAGCTAATGAAATGGGCAGAGCTTGTCCTGAATTACAAATTTCAGCAAAAAAACCTGCAATCTGTAATGAAGTTGTTCAATCAAATAAAAAGTTCCATCATTGTCTGAAATTCCATTCAGATGTATAGCAATGTCCGAATTTTGCGCATTCATGTGCTCATTTGAGAGTCGGTTGAGGTTTCCGGACATCTATCTGATTCCATCATAACAACAAACAAACCAGCATGCAAAGAATGAACTATTTTTAGCAATTCCAGAATCCAGGGCGTGGCAAAGTTTTCCAATTTTGGTGAGTCCGACTCAGCCTTATCTTCAAAAAAAAAAAAAAAACATGCAGGAGAATCCAAAGAGGAATATACCACCGTGTTCTATACGAGTACAATACGTATGGGAAATCTCTTGACCCCCCTCCCCTCCCCCCTGCGTATAAAAACAACATCTCCTGTCTCCAAGACACGAATCACCAATCATCAGAAACAAAAACCTAACCTTTTTCTTTTTCTTTCTTTTTTTTGCTTCGAAGATTCGTTGCAACATTCCATTTCGGGGGTGTGGAACCATGTCTTGTGAACGAGGGAATATGGCGTCGAGCGAATCGGGAAGGACTCTGCCGAAATTCGGGGAATGGGACGTGAATGATCCGGCGACCGCCGAGGGGTTCACGGTCATATTCAGCAAAGCCGGCGAAGACAAAAAGACGGGTGGAGCCTCGAATAGATCCGTTTCTCAGAGGAAGCCCGATAATGGTAAACCCACCTCCAAGAAATGGCTCTGCTTCACCTTCTCGTGAAGATGCCTTGTCCGTAAAGTTTCTTGATTTCTTAATCTCAGAGATTTAGTTTTTACTTGTAGTACATCTTGATTTCGGGAAAAAAAAATGTATATTTGCGTGATGTTTCAATACAGAGAAGGGTATAGGATATTCCACAGTGTATGTCTTTTTAGATCATTCGAACACTCGTGTGCTCTGTTTCGGGTGAAATAATAATTTCTCTTTTTTTCGTTTATTGAAGCAGAGAAAAGAAAATGCAGAAAACGAAAAAGAAAAGAAAATTTGAATTTTAAAGCTAGAATATATAAATGGGCCGGGTATGGGTAAGCCCATTGGGCCCAACCTTTGTGTTCCCCTCGAGTGAGCGCGTGAAAGCCACGCGCCTTCTTTCCGCTCGACGTTCGTGCAGGCAAACCCCTGCTAGAACCCTTGACCCTTCATAGAATAGGGACGAAGGAATTTGAGGAGATGGGTAAGATTCCACCGTCGTTTCGGCCTTCATTGACGAGGAAATTGGTGAGGAAACCTGTCTCTGCTTCAGGGCTTGAATCTCCGGCGCCGCCGCTGTGTTTTCCCAGGAAAACCGCCGGGAGAGAATCCGTCAAAAGTTCCCGGAAAATCCAGGGACCCGGAGAGTCCTTGAAGAATCCGTTCAACTCCCCTGATCTCTCGGAACAAGGCCCGTCCGTCTAAGTTGGTATAGTCTCTAGCACAGCTTTACCGTCATTTTTTGTATCTCTGATTTGTGGATGTCTAGTTTCTTCTAGGGTTGTTTTGTTACAAAAAGGAATGAACTTTTGATGGGTAATAACGACTGAATCGGTGTTACGACATGTTTACATACGAAACAGAATGCTCATCAGTTGCAAATATGAATCAGACAGAATATCTGACCACGAATTGTTATGTTCTTTTCCCTTGCTGCAGATGGAGAGAACAGAGATAATGTTATCTCCACCGATTACACTCAGAGAGGAAAAAGGTGGAAACTTTTTAACACTAAGTAGCCAAGTGCAGAGTATTGTGATCTTTTCAGCTAAATTACATTGCAAATCATTGCGGGGAAGACAGAGGACAAAATCCTGCTGCGGCATCATGAAGAAGATTTACAGATACAAGTGGTCAAAACGCTGGTATTAATCTATTCTCTCGACCCCCCCAATCATTTGGCTAAGAAATTCTTGTTTATTTGTTCTGTCCGGTCATGTTTTGATATTCTATATTACACATTTGTCTCCTTGTCTGCCCTAAACAATAATATACACATGCATGATGGGACGCTACGGAAAATACTGACATGGAATAAAAATGAGATTCTTGTAAAACAAACGTACAATTGTTTTTGTACATGCTGCAGCCCTAGATTCTTGGACCTGTTGCCTCCTTGCGTAATTCTGTATTAACGTTTTATTATCCTTTGTAAAGTTTCTCCGAGTTGGCTTGTTTTGTCCAGATTAGCCAACGATGCGGAATAACACATGAGAGAGAGAGAGCAAGGGAGACAAGATAATCCGACCATCAACAACAATAATAATAATAATAATCAGAGGCTCTACGTTGCCGGCTTCATGACCGCGGGAGTTAATTAATTAAACAAGAGGACAATGGTGCAAAAATCTTCTCTTTTTTAGGTTATAATATAATCCCCGTTGCCCCTTGCATGAAGAACTGGCTCTTTGTTTCTTAGTTATTATATAACTATGCAGGCTTGGAACCTTTACCACCCATTCCCATGTTTAAGCCTTTTCTTGGTTTGTGTTCTTTGAAAGCTAAAAGATGGTACCAGCTAGGTCTATCAGCTTGCCGACCAGGCTGATCCACCCAAAAGCTCAAAGGGTCGAAGAAGAGATGAAAAAGCTTCAAGCTTTAGAATCATCTCCGTCAGATGCTTCACGGGTCCTACTTGGGCTAGCACGGCTCGTGGAGCTCTACGACTTTGTGAATGAACAAGTCATACTTTCTCCGCAGAGCCGACAAGCCCTTAACTTACCCTGTCATGCAGAGCTCATGCAAAACTCTCTTGATGAATCCATCTTGCTACTAGATGTATGTGACATTGCAAGAGACTTGGTCGGAACGTTCAAGGAGCAAGTACAAGATCTTCAATCCGCTCTTCGTAGACGTGGAGGAGATTTCTCCAGCATCGAGGCCAGCATCCGTTCTTACATTACATTTCAGAAGAAGCACAAGAAAGCTGCGTCCAGACAACTCAGCTCCCTTGTAAGAATGCAGACAAGAAAGGACAAGAGACCGAGTTTGGTGAACTTTTCCGAGGTGGATCAACACACATCAATGGTTTCCAACATACTGAAGCAATCGAACGCATCGACCGTCTCTGTTTTCGGGTCGCTCTTGGAGTCGTTTCTCTCTTTGCAGGCCGAGAAAACGGAGGGGGAGAAGGGGAGAAGGTCGTTGCTCGGAAAACTGATGTCGGGTTTAGTTGGGAAAGAGAAGAGACGAGAGAGGTTAGGAGATGAAGAAGTGAAAAGGATGGTTAGAAGATTAGGGGAGCTGAATCTGAGCCTTGTAGCAATTCATGAAGAGCTGAGTTGCTTGTCGAGACGGCTTATCCAACATAGGGTGTCCCTCTTGAACATTGTCTCCACTTAGAACACATTCTGTTGTAGACAAATGCCCCCCTCAAGTTTTTGTAGGTTTGCAATTTTTTTTTAGAATATGATTGAGTTTTTATATAATGCCTCCTTATTCCATCTGTCCGTAGAGTGAAAGGTACTCATTGATTCGATTCAAAAACAAAAAGGCCTTGTTTACGAGGGTAAACATGTAATTTCAGGTGAATCCAAAAGCCCTAAGTTGGATAGAATGGGCCGGGCCCATTTATTGCTTAAGCCTAGCCCACTATGATGCTCGTGTTGCTGAGTCAGCATCGTCTCTAAAGTCAGTCAACCCCGTGTTGACTCCATGCTCAGCCTTCGATCTTTCTTTGGTAAAGTTTACTCTTCCCACACGCACACAAATCAACACGCGAGGCGACGATGATTGTCATGGAAAATGTGTCATTTTCCAGTTAATTTTCCCGGAAACATGAAAGAAAGACTTGAGGTGCAAGTTTTCTCACGCTATTAATGAAACGTTCCCGTGGCTCTGTTCTGTTTCCCTCTACGATCAAATTTCTTATCTGAACAACCAATTGAAAAAACTGTTTTTTTTTTTTACTTTCGGTTCATCTGAATCCAGGGTTTTTCTTAATCTTTATGTTTCTTGAACAACCAACTACAATCTCATAGACATGTCGGAGGAAGTTAACTGGTCTGAGTTGCCAGAGGAACTGTTACAGAAGATCGCCGTCCATCTGTTTTCCGACACAGAGCTCATCAGTTTCCGTAGCGTCTGCAGAACGTGGCGATCCTCGGCCGCTGATAAGCGGTTCCCGAGCCGTCGTCTCATCCGTCTCTCCCCTCTTGTTCACAGAGAACGGGCCCACCACCACGGCGCGTTTCTCTCACGTGCTACTTACTTCCGTGTCACTCTGCCTCTAGCCTCTGTGCAGAGGGCTTGGATGATCAAGGTTGAAGAACTCGAATCCGGGAAAAGGCGCCTCCTTTCCCCTCTCTCGCGCCTACCCATCAACCATTCATGTCAAATTCTAGATCTTTTGAAGTTTGGAGTCTCCGAGATTGAAGAAGGTTATGCTGTGAAGTGTTTCCAAAAGGAAAGAACTGTTTCTGGGTTCCAAAGAGTCGCCATGGTCACAGTTGCAGGTGAGACTCAGGTTCTTGGAATTGGCTGCGACGGAAAACTCCGCTACTGGAACGGGGAAATATGGATCAAAATAAAAAATCAAGCCGATACACTTTGCGACATTACAGTTCACAGAGGGATTACATACGTCATAGACATTAATGGGATCGTTTGGTGGCTTCATTCTTTCGGACTTGTACAGTATTCACCTCCACTTCACAGCCATGGCAATGACAAGAGCTTTGTGGAGTCCCGTGGAGAATTATATGTGGTTGACCGGTTCATGAAGGGCAAAGCTCGAAAAGGGAGAGCCATAGCAGATGCTTTCAGACAACAATTCGGTATCCGTTGTCTTCATGCTTTCATACAGGATACCGACGGTGCCAGGCCATGTAACATAGTGAAGGAATGCGAATTCGAGACCGTTAGTTTCAAGGTTTACAAGCTGGACGAGGAATGGGGAAGGTGGATGGAAGTGAAGTCATTGGGAGACAGAGCTTTTGTCATGGCTACAGACTGCTGTTTCTCTGTCTCAGCTCTCGAGTTCAATGGATGTCTCGAGAATTCTATTTACTTCACCGATGAAGACGAAGATGAACAGAAACCAGGCTTTGGATTGAACGGTCATGATCTTAGGGTGTTCAAGCTTGATGATGGTAGCATTACCTACCTGAAATCTTTCTACAATCATTTTCAGATGTTCTTTCCTTCCTTTCTTGAAACATAAAATATCACAATAGTGGTGCGCATAAGATTCTGCTACTTAGTTTCTGATGATGTAAAAATCACAGTTTTCTTTTCAGCTACTACTAAATTCAGAAGTTCATCTTCTGATTCTCTCTCTCACCATAGACAAAGAGAAGGTTTCCAGAGCAACCAATGGTTTTGTAGATGATTCTGAAATATTCATGGGCTGACTATGTGCTTGACTGCTGGCGTTGTGGCACTATCATGAAGCATTGACGTGTTTTAGGACAGCATCTGAAGATTGATGAGCAAAATACTTTTGTCTGAACTTCACATATGGGTAGCCAAGGAAAGACAGGAAGTGAGCTGGTTTCGAGAAGGAGAGTATCTCGTACCAGACTTTGCCATTTTCGTCAAGCTCGACAGAGAACCGCTCTTCCCCTGCCTGCGCAACAGATGAGTTCAAAGCATCTGAGACAGAACAAACTGTGCAAAGAAATGAGCTTGATGGATACTACGGACGGACAAGATAAGCTAACTTCTACCTGATGATCTACTTGAGGTGATTGAACCTATTCATACAAACTGGATCACTATCATTGGACGAATGGGTAGCTTGGAAATCAAGCATGTCATTGAAACTGGATTACGACTAATCTTAGGTTCGATTTGAGGTATAATCTCTAATGATCATCCCAAGCCCATGAAGGGATATGAGTACAAACCAGTAGATGGCCCTGCAGGGTGCCACTTCCAAATCCGAAACGAGCAGGACCCTTTCTGGATTTCCGGCTTTCGTCCACATAAACCACCTGCAGAGGAAGCATAACCCACGGAAGCATTTCCTTGACGCAAAGGCAAACCTTCCTACCATTCTCGACCGGAATTGTGGGATCAACAAATGCCCAATCCAGACCGAAATGTCTGCAATGTCAAACACCCAACACAGTGATTGTGACCATTAAGGAAACTACGGTGTCTTACATCAGAATGTTCCACAAAATTCCATGTGAAGATAGACGCATACCTCCAACTCTGAAGAGCTGTCTTCCCCTTCTCGTATGTCTCGCGTCCTGAACCCACCAAAACCCGTGCATGATTGATCAAGAACCCATCCTTGTCGAGCTCTTGATCATCCTTTAGCTTATCCCCAGACTTAACTGAAGCTCCCCTGTATTTTTCATCATAGTTGAACCCTCCTGTCCTGGTTTTTGCACACCAATGGCAGCCAAAACATCGACAATCAGAGAAATTTCTGCGGTACAGAGTCGCAAATATTAAAAATTTATACTTTTTTGCATCTTACTTGTTGAGCACTTGCTTCTGTTGGTCGGGTGACGGCCTACCCCAACTCAAGAAAACCATCCTTTCCACAAGAACTGGGAACCACAGTAGCAAGAAATATTGAAGACAATACACTCTAAAGAGCAAAAAAAGATTGCAAATTTCATCGGAAAACACAATATTTTTTGAAGAGGAAACAAGAAACCCACGAGAGTAAACGAACTGCTTCTTACTTCAAAGCAAGGAACAATTGAAAGTTTGATCCTTGAGATCTTCGAACGTTTGGATTTTGGGGCATCAGACGTTGAAGGTGAAGCAGCGAGTTTCTCGGCGTTTCATATCCTATCCTTCACAGTTCCAGGTTAGCGTAATGCCGTTTAATTGCAAAGAAAACGACGCGGTGTTCCAAAATGAAAGATCTAAACGGCAAAGCGTTCACCCGCCATTTCATTTTCATTAGATAAAAAAAAAAGACCCGAGTCCCAAACGGGGAATTATCAAAAATGCCCTTACTTTGCTACATTGACTTCATGGCATACCCCTCACTTGACGGAAAAAAAAAACATCTTCAGACAATACCTTTATAAATGTGTTGTCTCCATAATACCCTCAACACCTTTTTGTAACCCTCCATCGATTTGCGTTTCTCTCTCCTCTCGTTTCTCTCTCCTCGCGTAGTTTCTCAGCTTCTCTCCCCGCCAGAAAAAACCAGAATTTACCGGCGAAATCGCAGCGAATCTACCGGCGAAATCCCTCTATTTGCCTCGCGTTTCTCTCTCTTCTCGTTTCTCTCCCCCTTTCTCTCCCCATAAATTTCCGCCGAAAAAAAAAAACAGAATACACCGCCGAATGTACATGTGAAATCTCAGCGAATATACCGTCGAAATCGCATCAAATCACAGGAGTGCAGTCAGATCTGTATAGATCTGGGGAAAAGGCAAGTTCTCATCGCACAACCCAGCATTAATTTTCGGTTTAATTCGACCTCACATGTGTATAGATCTAACCTCATTTTTCTTATATATATCACTAAAACTGGTGTTATAGACATTTCACACTGTCACACTAGTCACTGGTCACACTGGTCACTGATCCCACTGGTCACTTTGGTCTCTCTGGTCCCCCTGGTCACACTGGTCACTTTGGTCCCCCTGGTCCCCCTGGTCACACTGGTCACTTTGGTCCCAATGGTCACTTTGGTCCCACTGGTCACTTTGGTCCCCCTGGTCACTTTGGTCACACTGTTTAATTGAATAATCTTCACACTAGCCACACTGGTCACACTAATCACACTGGTCACTTTGGTCCCACTGGTCAGCTTGGTCACTCTGGTCACACTAGTCACTCTGGTCATACTAGTCACATGTGTCTTACGAATCTTATTCTATACCGGCATAATGGACGCAGTCGACGAGAAAATCACAATTATTTATTACAAGTCTGATGGAAAGTGGGTGTTGAATGGTAATAGGGAATATGAATGGGTTGGAAAAGTTAAGGATGGGAAGGGAGTCATATTCATGTGTCCTCCAACTGAATTGAAATACCAACGTCTTGTTGAAGAGTTATGTTCTGAAATGAAGGCGGACCAAAGTAAAACAGACATGAAGTTGAGCTATTTGCCGACTTTAAAAGGAGGTACTGAGCCGATTTACATATCGAATGATAAACAAGTTTTAATTTATCTCCTGGACAAAACGAATGGAGGCAGAAGCATGCTTCACGTGGAGATAGAAGAGCCGATGTCAGAAAATGAGTTTAGAATTCCTGATTACGTGGAACGTGTTGGACCATATGGGAGTATAATATGTGTAGGTTATAAGGGTTGCGATGTTATCCAGAGTCCAAATTTCAAGAGTAAAGCTGGGAGTAATAGTTTATATATTGGAGCGAATGGAAAGGAGACAGATTTAGTGGACTCTGTAAACGATGTTCTCTGTGATAGTGGAGTGGATCGAAATGAGATGGGTACAGATTTAGTAGACCGTGAAACTAGACTTGATGGAAATGAGATGGGTACAGATTTAGTGGAGTGTGCAACGAATATGGAAGGTGGAAGCAAGTCTGATTTGGCCATGGCAGTTGTGGAGGACTCTATGTTTTGTACTTCAGTATTCGAATTTAGCGATGGATTGAACATATATATTGGTTATGAGTTTGATAATAAGCAAGACGCACAAGAATATATACGAAAGGGTTCAGTTAAGGCTTGTTTCAGCTATGTTACACTGAAGTCTGACAAGAAGTTGTGGGAAATAAGATACAAGTTTGCTGGATCAGGTTGTAACTGGAAATTGCGCATCGCATCGCTCCCGAGTTCGAATCGTTTTAGCGTAAGAACACACAATCCAATTCACAGATGCAGACCTGTTTCAGAATCAGAAGAAGCTATGAAGAGTTCATCGAATTTGGTTAGAGATTATTTGAAGGAAGAATATGATGGGATCCTCGAAACTCCTGCTGCCCCAGAATTAGTACGACGAATGAAAACCAAGTACGGGGCAACTGTTTCGTATTTGATGGCATTGAGAGGGAAGCACAGTGCTGAAAAAGAGATTCGCGGTAATCATATCGATCATTACATGAGGCTTCCTGGGTGGATGTACATGCTGAGAGAAAGAAATCCTGGATCCATAGTGCATCTTGAGTTGGACAATGATCAGAAAAGCTTCAAGTACCTATTTATCGCGTTAAGTGCAACTGTAAAAGGATGGAAGTATATGCGTAAAGTTGTTGCTGTTGATGCGACATTTTTGACAAGCGAATATAAGGGAGCATTGGTCGTGGCAACCGCACAAGATGGAGAACATCACCAATATCCTTTAGCATGGGGTGTGATCGATAGAGAGAAAGACGCTTCATGGAGGTAGTTTATGAATAGGTTGAGCGAAGTAATACCGGATGGACCTGATGTGGTTGTGATATCCGATAGACATAAAAGTATAATGAAAGCTGTGAGAGAAGTATATAAACAAGCTGATCATGGTTTTTGTGCAAGGCACATATCGCAAAACTTGAAATCGCATGTTAACAGGGGAGCCGGAAGAAAGGGTTCAAGAGGCGAAACTGTGGCTAAATTGTTTTTTAAATGTGCATCGGAATACAGGGAGAAGGAGTTTGAAGAATTGTACTCTGATTTCAAGAACATGTATGAATTTAGTGACCAGTGGGACCAATTGGACCAGTGTGATTTTCTCAACGGTGTGACCACTGGGACCAATTGGACCAGTGTGATTTTCTCAACGATGTGACTTGAGTAAACTGATGTGAATATCTCATGATTTTCAGGTATCCCAAAGCGGCGGAGTACATGCAAAAAGAAGAACTTGCTCCGGAGAGGTGGGCGAGGTGTAAATTTCGGACTGAGAGATACAACTTATTAACCACCAATGGTGCCGAATCAATCAACTTCGTTTTGAAGAAGGCCAAAAGGTATCCGCTACTCAGTTTGCTTGATATTTGTGTCTCGAAGACGGTAGAATGGTTCAGTAGGTACATGGTGGAAGCATGTGGTGCTGATGATTCTCAAAAGTTAACTCCGTATGTGTACAAAGTGCTGCATGAACGGTTTGAGAAGGCCTGCACGTATGAGGTTATTGAACTTAACAGGCTGAGTGGAATGTTTGAGGCAAGGGATGAAAAAGGTAGAAGAAACTTGGTAAATCTTGGTGATAGAACCTGTAGTTGCAGAAAGTTTGATGTGGACAGGTATCCATGTAGCCATGCAATTGCAGCAGCACATAAGGTGGGAAAAGGTACTGAGATTCACGAATTATGCTCTGAATACTACTGGCGAGAGACTTGGGTCAAGGCTTACCAAGAGACTGTCTATCCGGTGCCCGATATTTGTGATTGGGTTGTCCCGCCCGAAATTTTAAATTTTTCAGGGATGCCGCCTATAATAGAAGAAAAACGGCGGACCGGAAGACCTAAACAGAATCGTTTCCCTGGACCTGGCGAGGCTAGTAAAAGACCCCATAATTCAACATCGTCATTTTCACAATCGGATTCGTCGAAAAGAACAAATTTGAAATTATTCGCGTAATTAGTCTGCGTTAAATGTAACTTGTATTCCTAAACAAAGTTATTTTGATCCAAAGTGTTCCTAAAACACTACTAACACTTATGGGATTCGTTTTGTGTTCATAGCTTTCGATCGAATAATGCTCAACGACTTTCAACCCCGATTCCTCCTCCGAACCATTTGTATGATCGTACATTACACTCCCAAAGCGTTGAATTCGTGAAATTCGATCAGTGGGACCAGTGGGACTAGTGGGACCAGTGGGGCCGTCGGGATGTGATAAAAGTGAACCAAATCAACTGTGGGGGAGTTAAACAAGGTTGGTGCGCTGTGAAACAATGTAATTACACTTCAAACTAACATCTCGTAAGCGGTTTGGACAAAAAAATTCCGAACACAAAGTTACTTTGATCCAAAGTGTTCCTAAAACACTACTAACACTTATGGGATTCGTTTTGTGTTCATAGCTTTCGATCGAATAATGCTCAACGACTTTCAACCCCGATTCCTCCTCCGAACCATTTGTATGATCGTACATTACACTCCCAAAGCGTTGAATTCGTGAAATTCGATCACTGGGATCAGTGGGACCAGTAGGACCAGTGGGACCGTCGGGATGTGATAAAATCCGGTTTAGGGGATTACATTTCCGGTTTAGTAATAGGGTTTCTGGTCTGGATACTTGAATTTCTTGTTTGGGGTAAATCAATTGGAATTAGGTTTATGGGGAGATGTGCACCAATATCATTTACAACGGGCCCACACATCTGATTCTGCAGAAAAGCAGTTCCACTTTTTGGCCAATATGCAATTCCGAAAATTTAAACTTTCCCGCCAACCGAATTCCAAAATTTTGGCCAATATGCAATTCCGAAAATTTAAATTTTTTCGCAATAAACATTCAGAAAATATCTAACACAAAAAATAAAGTCAAAGGTTCAAAGGTTCAAAGGTTCAAACAGAATACAAGAAATATCATAATTTATCTTGCATCTGGGGAGGAATCGTCACGTCTTACATCGGGAGCAAGACTCACAATCTGGCCATTTAAGAAGATATCTGCAGCAATCTTCTCACGAATCGATGAACTATTTTCATCGCAAATTTGATTGCACAATATTCTTTCTTGACCTCGCATCAGGGCTTCAAGGTACATGATGGTAAACACACCGCATTCATCTCCGTTACCATTTTGAGGCAGCCCTTCGACGTAATGATAGTCAAACATGGTGCTTTCATCAAATTGGTATATCTTGGCGACCGTATATATCTTTGGGAGCCACCACACCAACCGGCCAATAATCGCGTCAACGTTCGGCCTCATTTTGAGGTTGCAGTCAAATACCTGAATCAACTTCTTCACAGGGATGCATCTAATGGCCACCCAATGCACACTTACATCAGGATTGACCAACGAGGGTATGCTGAGGGGAGTGATAAATCCTTCGTAACTTCCCATCTTGCGATCCCCACACCCTACTGGTGCTTTTCCGTCAAAGTAGTCCTCAAGCCCATTCAAATCGGTCATAGTACCATGGCCCCACCATTTGAGGAATTCGCCGAAACTTGTGTCGCCAATCATGTACTTTGTTGTTGTTGGACAACTTTCTTTGGCCAGGCGATTCCTGATTTCAAGCCGTTATCTAGTGATGTTATTGTTTTAGGGAAATAGTTGTGATTAAAATGGATGAAGTTACTGGAATCTGTAGCCAGTGGTTTCAAATCGATGTTAGTTTGCGCGTTTCGGTTTTTTATTTGTTGGAAGAAAACTAGAGTGTTGTAGAATGGTTGATTTTTCCACTTGAAGTCCAGTTGTGTGGTTGATGTAGGGACCTTTGGGTTTAGTTTCATGCATCATTGCATCTACCGGGAAATTATCCGCATCTCTTCAAATGTAATGATGGGTTATTTTCTTTCTGCAGCGTGACTATGAAAGAGAATCTTCCAGAAGTAGAGAAAAAGAAAGCGAGAAGGGGCGAGATAAGGAGAGAGAGAGGGACCGTCGTACCAGGGAGAGGGACAGGGAGGGTGAGAAAAGCAGAGAAAAGGGTTCAGAGAGAGAGAAGGACAGGGACAAAGAACGAGACCGTCATTCCAGTTCCAGAAGTCGTCACAGGGATCATAGTAGGGAACACAGTGACAGAAGAGAACGTGGTAGGGATAGAGACGATGATGGCTACCGTAGAAGCCATGATTATGACAGGTGACTTATCCAAAGAAGATTCTGATTATGCTTCAAATGGAATCAGTTCAGTGATTCTCATATTTGGTAGAAGATACGAATTTGACATTTTTCATTTCAGGCGTAGAGATTACGAGAAGGATAGACGTCGCCGCCAGTCTCGTTCTCGTTCAAAAGATAGATCTGATCGGAGATCAAGATCACGATCAGCATCAAAAAGGTAGCTTAATTTTCTTGCTGGGAACTGTCTCTTTATGATTCATGAATGGATAACTCTACTTTTCGTTAATATATAAAACATTTCAAGTTCCTACTCCATCGCTGTTTAATTTAATGGTGTTTCAAGTTATTGAACGGAGTGTGTTTTATGTTATATCTTTTATTTTCTTTCTTCATATATCAACGCTCTCTGCTTGCAGTAAACGAGTCAGTGGATTCGATATGGCACCTTCAGCTTCTGCAATGTTAGCTACTGGAGTGGCTACTACTGCTGTTGCTACTACTGTCACAGGTAGACATATCTCCTGTCACCTTTTTATTTTAGTACATATTGGAATATTTTTTGCATGGTGTATACCTGGTTCATGTAGTAAGTCATGGTTTCCTTGTGTTTGCCTGGACAACTTCAAAAGTTGTAGGCAGGAATGGACTGTTTATGTTTATTGTTCTTTTTGTTTACATGGATACAATACCGGAACTGAGAACTTTTGGTTGTCTTGGTGTTCTTGGTGTTTGTTTGTTTGCTTGTCTTTCTTTTGAGAAGGCAATGTTGGGTTTCTTGTCCCTCTTTGACGACAATGGGTGTGAGCTGGTCTTCTAGCTTTTTTTGTACAAGGAAGAATTCCTGCAATGGTTTATGGGTATTGCTCATCCTCAATCAGTCCCTGTCATTGGATTTGATAGCCTTGCAATTGTCTTCTGAGAAATTCTATATAATCTCGTTTCCTTTCCTTTATTACCATATGTGTTAAGATCTCTGAATACCTCCGATGATTTTCCAGGGAGGGTGACCTAGGTCTTCTCAAATACAAGTAATAGAGAGAGGCTCTGCCCGCTGTTTATCTGTATTTTCACCTTTTTTTCCTTTTCTAGGTCAAGTTCCTGCTGCAAACCCTGCTATAACTGGGTCTGGAATGTTCCCAAACATGTTCCCATTAACAACAGGGCAGGTATGTGCTCTTTACCCTGATAGAATTGATGTCTTGTCTTTTCTTACCTGATTTTTCCCTTCTATGTCATGCAGCCTTTTGGTGCGTTCCCTATGATGCCAGTTCAGGCAATGACTCAGCAGGTTGGGTGAAACTATACATGAATGTATGCGGATTACTGAGTTTTGTCTTTTTCAACTGCTTATTCATCTGATATATCTTCAGGCTACTAGACATGCACGCAGAGTCTATGTCGGTGGGCTTTCCCCAGCAGCCAATGAACAGGTTTAATATTTACTTTTCTTCTTTTGGCTTCTTGAAACTTGCTCTTGCATTTAACAGACACATTCATTTACATTCCTCTATTGCAGTCTGTTGCAACATTTTTTAGCCAGGTTATGGCAGCAATTGGTGGAAACACAGCTGGTCCAGGTATGTGATTCAACTGCAAGTGTTGGTTGGATCCCTTATTGAGGCTTTTTGAAATTTCTGTTAAATCAATCCTCACAGGTGATGCTGTTGTCAACGTGTACATAAACCATGAGAAGAAGTTTGCCTTTGTGGAGATGCGGTCTGTTGAAGAGGCAAGTAATGCAATGTCTTTGGATGGGGTTATATTCGAGGTATGTCTTTTGGCTTGTCCATGGTACATAACAAAGAGCTGGTTAAACTGTTAATTTTGCTGTTTCACTGGTATTCTTGTTGTGTAGCTCAGTGAAATAAGAAATAATCTAATAATTGGAGAAACACCTACACTGTATCGGTTGGGATTGAAATTTGGTAGGCTCAATAACTGTATTTTTCTTCATCTGCAGGGAGCTCCAGTGAAGGTGAGGAGACCTAGTGACTATAACCCATCTCTAGCAGCAACTCTTGGTCCGAGCCAGCCCAGTCCCAATCTAAACTTGGCTGCTGTTGGTCTGACTCCAGGTTCTTCTGGAGTGCTTGAGGGTCCAGACCGTATTTTTGTCGGTGGACTTCCCTATTATTTCACCGAGGCCCAAGTCAGGGAATTATTGGAGTCCTTTGGAGCACTGAAGGGCTTTGACCTTGTAAAAGACAGGGAAACCGGAAACTCTAAAGGATATGCCTTTTGCGTGTACCAAGATATCTCTGTAACAGACATTGCTTGTGCAGCCCTCAATGGAATTAAAATGGGAGACAAAACTCTTACTGTGAGACGTGCTAACCAGGGTACAGGTCAGCCGAAACCTGAACAGGAGAGTGTATTGTTGCATGCGCAGCAGCAGATTGCTTTACAGGTAAAATTTTAGATATCTTGGTTTCCCTTGTAAGATTCAATTCCAATTCCTCGTAGAACAGTTTAACAGATGGATTTGATCAGTCAAGATGGGCTATCAATTATGTGACTGGTGCTTTCTCTTTTGCAGAGGATTATGTTGCAACCAGGCACAGTGCCCACCAACGTCGTCTGTCTGACACAGGTTGTTGCTGAGGATGAGCTCAGGGATGATGACGAGTATGAAGATATAATGGAAGACATGAGGCAAGAAGGTGGAAAGTTTGGTAAGCAATCTTTTAGTATTAAAACTGCAACTCCTTTTGTTCTTCAATGTTATCACGTGACGGGATTAAGATAAAAAAAAGCATATTGATCAATCTCTGTTTTTTCTTGGTTGTATATGTTTTGTTTTACAGCCTTTTGTTGTCCCACAGTTCAGTTCTGCTATAAAGAATCAGCCCCTAAACATAACACAGACAGGAGACCTGCATATAAACTTCCAATCTGTTTTCACTTGAAAGAAACATTTCTGGACATCTTTTTCTATCTCTCTCTTTTTCCTTTGGATTCGAAAACTTTACACTAAACGTGCAGGTGCGCTGACACAAGTAGTGATTCCTCGCCCCAGTCCCAATGGCGAACCGATTCCTGGTGTTGGCAAGGTTTGTACAAAAAACTTCTATGGTTTTCATTATTAATCAAAGGGATCTCTGTTTTGTTTTTTATTTGGCTGGGATATATATACAGGATTCATTCACAGGGTTTGACAATTGTTGTGGCAGGTGTTTCTCAAGTACGCGGATACCGAAGGTGCGTCGAAGGCGAGAGCAGGGATGAACGGAAGGAAGTTTGGTGGCAACCAAGTGGTGGCCGTGTTCTACTCGGAAGAAAAGTTCGAACAAGGAGATTTCCAAGCCTAGTTTGATCAAACCATCCAAATGTCCTCACTCTGACTCTACTCGCCCTCTCTCCCTTATATGATGACTGCATCATGTGTTTTACTTTTTTTTATCCCCCCCTTCAGTTTTCTGTTGAAACAAGGATATCGATCCACATAAAATTGTGCTTGTAACTTTGTTACGGAATTAGATTCCCCACTTTCTCCCCCATTAGCCATATTTGTTAAACATCTCTCCTTTCTCGGTAACAAAAAAAAAAAAGAGACAAATTCGTGATTTTTGTTTTTTTTATGTAGAGTGAATTTTGTCTTCGTCATTACTAGTATGGCAATGCAATGTCAATAAACCCACGCGACTCGTAAAACTCTTCTTCTCAAATCTTAAACCCTAACCTCTACTCTCGACACTTTCCTGCCGTCTCCATTTCATCTCTCCCACAGCGACGAAGCAAATACTATGACGCCGTCTCGTCTGTGCCTCAGCCGCATTCGCCGCCTCTCCTCCGCCGCCGCTGCGCCTGCTGCTGCGACCAGCACGGGCGGGTCTGCATCTTCCGGCTCGATCTCTGTCTCCAAAGCTAAATCCAAACTCAGGAAGGTGCACGATCCTGACAAAGCCCTTGAGATCTACTCCTCTGTCTCCAATCACTACGTCTCCCCTGTCTCCTCGCGCTATGCCCAGGAGCTCACCGTTCGCCGCCTTGCCAAGTCTCGCCGGTTCTCCGACATTGAAGCGCTGATCGAATCTCACAAGAATGATCCCAAGATCAAGGAAGAACCTTTCCTCTCTACCCTTATCAGATCTTACGGTCGAGCCGCCATGTTCGATCATGCCATGAGGACGTATGAGCAGATGGAACAGTTTGGCACGCCCAGGTCAGCCGTGTCTTTTAACGCCCTTCTCTCCGCTTGTCTTCACTCCGAGCTGTTCGAAAGAGTCCCCCAACTGTTCGAGGAAATTCCTCAGAGGTATAATATCACTCCTGACAAAATCTCTTACGGTATACTGATTAAGGCTTATTGCGATTCGGGTTCGCCTGAAAAGGCCTTGGATACGTTGAGACAGATGGAGGCCAAAGGCGTGGAAGTTACCACCATTGCTTTCACTACCATTTTGGGATCTTTGTATAAGAAAGGAAAAGTTGAGGAAGCAGAGAATTTGTGGAGCGAGATGGAGAAGAAAGGCTGCGAATTGGACGTTGCAGCGTATAATGTTCGTGTCATGAATGCTCAAAAGGAAAGCCCTGAAAGAGTTAAGGAATTGATCGAACAGATGAGCAATGTGGGACTGAAACCCGATACAATTAGCTATAACTATCTTATGACTGCATATTGCCAGAAAGGAATGATGGATGAAGCGAAGAAGGTATATGAAGGACTGGAGGAATACGGGTGTTGTCCGAATGCAGCAACTTTTAGGACTTTGATATTTCATCTGTGTTTGAACGGGTTGCATGAGCAAGCCTATGCAGTGTTCAAGAAGAGCGTGTCGGTGCACAAGATCCCAGATTTTAATACGCTGAAGCATTTGGCTGAAGGTTTGGTGAGGAAGAAGAAAATGGACGATGCCAAAGGGTTGGCAAGGACAGTGAAGAAGAAATTCCCCCCAAATTTTTTGAAAGCGTGGATGAAACTAGAGGAGGATCTGGGCTTGACTTCGAAGAGTAATGCTGTTTCCGCAGGAAAGGAAGCTACGCCGTAAAGCTCGAGCTTTCAAGACTTTGAAAGAGACCATGATGGATGGAGCATACAGGTTATTAGAAATGCCTCTTGCTCCTTTCTCATAAAGTTGGTAAGCTGTAAAAGCTAAGTGTTGGAAGGGATCACTTCATCAAACAACAAAATTTTCGAAGTGTTTCTTGAAAGAGTAGGATTTGATGCGGCAGCATTATATCTCTTGTCATTCAGTTCATGCGCTTCTTCTTCTTATCTCCTCCTCAAAATGAAAACCTTGTATTTCTCTGGTCCAAAAAGCCAGATCTTGCAGCAAGAAGTGTTTCTTATGTTTGTGATTTTAAGATCACCCAATTCCGCTGCAAGTGATCAAATTTACAGCAGTTTAATTTCACCCACCGGGGGATGAGCAAATGGGCCTATGGGCCTTAAAAAGGCTCGATCTCTTAATTATTCTATACTGATTAAGGCTTATTGCGATTCGGGTTCGCCTGAAAAGGCCTTGGATACGTTGAGACAGATGGAGGCCAAAGGCGTGGAAGTTACCACCATTGCTTTCACTACCATTTTGGGATCTTTGTATAAGAAAGGAAAAGTTGAGGAAGCAGAGAATTTGTGGAGCGAGATGGAGAAGAAAGGCTGCGAATTGGACGTTGCAGCGTATAATGTTCGTGTCATGAATGCTCAAAAGGAAAGCCCTGAAAGAGTTAAGGAATTGATCGAACAGATGAGCAATGTGGGACTGAAACCCGATACAATTAGCTATAACTATCTTATGACTGCATATTGCCAGAAAGGAATGATGGATGAAGCGAAGAAGGTATATGAAGGACTGGAGGAATACGGGTGTTGTCCGAATGCAGCAACTTTTAGGACTTTGATATTTCATCTGTGTTTGAACGGGTTGCATGAGCAAGCCTATGCAGTGTTCAAGAAGAGCGTGTCGGTGCACAAGATCCCAGATTTTAATACGCTGAAGCATTTGGCTGAAGGTTTGGTGAGGAAGAAGAAAATGGACGATGCCAAAGGGTTGGCAAGGACAGTGAAGAAGAAATTCCCCCCAAATTTTTTGAAAGCGTGGATGAAACTAGAGGAGGATCTGGGCTTGACTTCGAAGAGTAATGCTGTTTCCGCAGGAAAGGAAGCTACGCCGTAAAGCTCGAGCTTTCAAGACTTTGAAAGAGACCATGATGGATGGAGCATACAGGTTATTAGAAATGCCTCTTGCTCCTTTCTCATAAAGTTGGTAAGCTGTAAAAGCTAAGTGTTGGAAGGGATCACTTCATCAAACAACAAAATTTTCGAAGTGTTTCTTGAAAGAGTAGGATTTGATGCGGCAGCATTATATCTCTTGTCATTCAGTTCATGCGCTTCTTCTTCTTATCTCCTCCTCAAAATGAAAACCTTGTATTTCTCTGGTCCAAAAAGCCAGATCTTGCAGCAAGAAGTGTTTCTTATGTTTGTGATTTTAAGATCACCCAATTCCGCTGCAAGTGATCAAATTTACAGCAGTTTAATTTCACCCACCGGGGGATGAGCAAATGGGCCTATGGGCCTTAAAAAGGCTCGATCTCTTAATTATTCAAAGCCCATTCATTCGGCCCATGGGTTTTGCAATCCCTTGAACCCTCTTCCTCCTCCTCCCCCGAGCTTAGAGAAACCGCTATAAACGTCGATTAGACGGGAACGGAGTAAGAATCTGAAATTCTGGGGGGGTTTTGCCGGCGTAGAATTAGAGTAAGAAAGGAAAGATGACGACCCGAATAGCTCCAGGAGTTGGAGCGAATCTGCTTGGCCAGCACTCCGCTGAACGGAATCAAGACGCTACTGTCTATGTCGGAAATCTCGATCCCCAGGTTCTTCTCCTTTGCTCTCTCACCAACTTGCTCTTGGGTTTTCTGGGCCTTCTCATCTATACATATACGAACTTTTGTATGTATGTGTGTGTATTGGCTAAACAGTAGAATTAGGTTTTGAAATGATTCGATTTTATTGGTTTCTCAGTTTTAGGTTATTTTCCACATTTTCCGATTGCTGTTTATCGACTGAGTTCTCAGTAAAGTTGGTGTTTTGTTCGACATCGAGTTTAGGTATCTGAAGAATTGCTCTGGGAATTGTTCGTACAAGCCGGCCCGGTAGGTAAGCAAGGCCCCGTTTCAATAAAAAGTTCATGTTAGATGTAGTAACATAAGTCTTTCTTTATAATCATATCAGAGTGCAAGATTTGTATTTTTAATTGCAGTGTGAGTGTGAGGACAATATCTTGTTTAGTTCGTAGGTGGCAATGGAAATGGTTGTTGTTTGGCTGAAAGCCATAGCTTTTTTTTTTGTTGGAAAATTTGTTGGGTTGAGAGCATCGCGATCTGGTTCAGTTTTTGTTCTGACTTAACTCCTCCGATTTTGGTTGTTGCAGTCAATGTGTATGTCCCGAAAGATAGGGTGACAAATCTTCATCAAGGGTATGGATTTGTTGAATTCCGCAGCGAGGATGATGCTGACTATGTAAGTACTGCTTGTAGAGTTGTGGCAATGCTTTCCACTTCCTTCGCTTATATTGAAGATTATTACTTCTCTTTAGAGCATTCATAACGTTATCTGCTGTTTGTGCAGGCAATTAAGGTTCTGAACATGATTAAGCTTTATGGGAAACCTATACGTGTTAACAAGGTATCAGATTGTTCTTATAATTGTTGTCTCCTTCATACGGGTTATCAACTTGCTTCATGCCAGCTCTTCTTTGTTTTCTTATGAAATCAAGGATTTAGGCAGCTGGTTTTTGTGAATTTTGATGCCAAGATGCGTTCAGTTTTGGTTTGAAGTTGTTAATATTTTGGTCCCTATTTAAAAATGTTTCTAGGCATCTCAAGATAAGAAGAGCTTGGATGTTGGTGCTAACCTTTTTATTGGAAACCTTGATCCTGTAAGTAGCTTGGTGGTATACTCTGCCCCTTGATGTTTTCTAGTCGCTTCAGATATTTACCTGACCCAGCTTTTGCTTTACAGGACGTGGATGAGAAATTGCTATACGATACCTTCAGTGCGTTCGGAGTCATTGTTGCTAATCCAAAGGTGTAGGATCTTTGATTCAATTAGAGTCTTACCCTTTTTATCATTTCATTCTGCTTAAACATCTAATTGGTTGAAGACTTTTGTTTCGCGACTGTTCTGTTTCTGTGTGCGTAAGTCTTGATCTCTGTGTGTCCCCTTCCGGAGGTTGGAGTCATATATTATCGTTTTTTTTTCTTCTCATTTCTCTTGGAGAAGAAATCGTTTTGACCTTAGATTCTGACACTTAGAACCTTCTGTTTCAGATAATGAGAGATCCGGATACAGGGAACTCGAGAGGTTTTGGTTTTATCAGCTATGATTCTTTTGAGGCATCTGACGCTGCTATAGAGGTATGCTTCTGTTTTTTGGTTACACAACTTGAAAGTATGTAACTGCGTGATTTCCATTACTGAACATGGCCATTTTACATTTGGAAACTAGTAAATAAATCTCCAGTCTCCGTCTGGGCCATGTACCTGACCCAATGTAGTATATTTCGTATGGTGTACTTCTTGTCGTTGCAGGCTATGAATGGTCAGTACCTCTGTAACCGGCAAATAACAGTCTCATATGCATACAAGAAGGACACCAAAGGAGAAAGGCATGGTACCCCAGCAGGTTAGATTTTCAGCAGAATGGATTAGATGTACACACGCATGTGTATATAAGATTGGATGATGGTATTCTTCATTTAAACAGCGCATACTTACATGTTTAGCACGTTTGTGATGCAGAGAGACTTTTGGCTGCCAACAATCCGAATTCACAGAAAAGCAGACCCCATACCCTATTTGCTAGTGGCCCTCCAACACTTGCAAACGCTCCTCGGCCTAACGCACTGCCTCCACGGCCTTTTGCCAATGGCAACTTGCCACCTGTCCCGATCCAAGCCGTCCGTCCTCCACCGCCACCTCCACAAGCAGCAGCGGCTGCCGCTTATCAACCACCACCACCAGCTCAAGCAGCTTGGCCGCCTCAGCCACAACAACACGGCTTTGCAGTTCCACCGCCGATGCAATTCAGACCAGCCCCTCAAGGCATGCCGCTGCCACCGGCACTTCATCAACAAGTGGGTTCAAGGCCTCCACCTCCGCCACAAGCCATGGGCATAGGACAGAGCCAGCACATGTGGCCGGGTGGTCCTCCCATGCATCATCCTCCTCCTCATCACCCTCATCATCATCATCACATGTCCATGCCACCTCCACCGACCCATAGCATCCCCCCTCCTCCGCCTCCCCAAGGTTGATTGATAAATAAAGCGTGAGGGTTCGTTTTGGGTCTTGTGCTATTTTGTTGCTTGTCTTGTTATGGGATGACATAGAAACAGTATTCTTGTTTTGTATTGCCCGTAGGAGGAGTCCTCCAAAAAGCTCATATGACAATATGTAAGCCCTACCTTGCATAGCAAGTAATTTCAAGGTTTTAGTTCATAGACATATGAATGAAATTAATGAATCCATTTTCCTACTGAATGGTCCAAATAAACAGGTCAATTAATTTCAAGAATTCCACCAGATTTTTTTTTTAAAAAAAAGAGAAATTAGTAAGACCTACCCTTATTATCTTAACTGCCCAAGTTAGCAAACAGCAATTTGTAGGGGAAAGTCTCTGTCGGCCAAATGCATCCCAAGCTCCATCGCTTTTCTCTTTGAAATTCTCTTTCCGAAAAGAATTACCAACCATTTCGCTATCAATATTTTTCATATATATATATATATAATGAATCAATAGATCGTTCTAGTAATTACGGGATAAAGTAATGTTATCTTGCATTTTCTTGTAAAAACGTATCACGGAATCTCACCCTCTCTACCTTTAACCTGCAATCTTGTCTAAATTGCTTTATATATATATATATATTCCATTTATAGAAACCATGGTTGACGAATTCATTTTCGCAACCCTTCACGTGCCTGCATGAACTAACCTTCTTTCTTTCTTTTTTTTTTTATATCCAAAGAGAAGAAATTCAATTTCTCTTCACATCATTTCATTGTCGTATCTTACAGTTCAGAATACAAACACTGACGTTTGTTGTGTGTATATATATATATATATGCATATAGATGCTCGCGTGTATTCGTACAAAACGCATAACAATAAGTTATATATTCGCAAATAATGGTTGTGTCTGGTGATATTTCTTCCTGGTCGGATCCAAACCCGACCCGTATGAACAAGTTCGCTTGTGGTTGCGCCATTGTTGCCTCCATCATTTCCGTCATCTTTGGATATGGTAAGTCATCACACGCAGCATCATTTATATATATATATATATATGTGTGTGTGTGTGTGTCCGTTATTTCCAATTAATATTAATTTAAATGTTGAAGATACCGGTGTTATGAGCGGGGCCCAAATCTTCATAAGAGAAGATCTCAGAATAAATGACACACAGATCGAAGTTTTGGCGGGAATCCTAAACCTCTGCGCCCTTGTCGGCTCTCTGACCGCCGGAAAAACGTCTGACGTCATCGGCCGGCGATACACCATCGCTCTCTCCGCCGCTATATTCCTCGTCGGCTCAGCCCTCATGGGTTACGCTCCAAACTACGCCGTTTTGATGGCCGGAAGGTGTGTCGCCGGGGTGGGCGTAGGGTTTGCCCTCATGATAGCTCCCGTCTACTCCGCCGAGATAGCCTCTCCTTCACACAGAGGGTTTCTCACTTCTCTCCCCGAGCTTTGCATCAGTTTCGGGATCTTACTGGGCTACGTCTCGAACTACGGATTCGGGAAACTGACGTTGAATCTCGGGTGGAGATTGATGCTCGGAATCGCGGCAATCCCTTCTCTTATCCTAGCTTTTGGGATTCTGAAAATGCCCGAGTCGCCTCGATGGCTTGTGATGCAAGGTAGGTTAAAAGAGGCGAAGGAAATACTGTTCTTGGTGTCCAATACCGACCAAGAAGCCGAACAGCGGTTTAAAGACATAAAACTCGCCGCAGGAATAGACGAAAACTGCGACGAAGAGTTTGTCGAGACGAAGAACGATAAGATTGCGAGTGGCGAAAGCGTGTGGAGAGAGCTACTGATAAAACCTAGACCGGCCGTACGTTGGATCCTAATCGCAGCAATAGGGATTCACTTCTTCGAGCATGCCACAGGGATCGAAGCCGTTGTATTGTACAGTCCTAGAATCTTCGAGAAAGCCGGCGTCACGACGAAAGACAAGCTTTTACTCGCCACGGTCGGTGTCGGCCTGACAAAGACAGTCTTCATACTGATTGCCACTTTCTTGCTGGACAAGGTAGGTCGGAGGAAGCTTCTATTGACCAGCACAGGAGGCATGGTTCTCGCGTTGACCGCGTTAGCGTTTAGTCTGACCATGGTTCAGCGTTTCGGGCGACTGCTGTGGGCTCTTTCTATGAGTATTGGATCCACGTACGCGTTCGTCGCGTTTTTTTCGATCGGGCTCGGACCCATCACGTGGGTTTACAGCTCGGAGATATTCCCGTTGAGGCTGAGGGCTCAGGGCGCGAGTATCGGGGTCGCGGTTAATCGCGTTATGAACGCTGCCGTGTCGATGAGCTTTTTGTCGATAACGGAGGCGATCACGACTGGCGGCGCGTTCTTTGCGTTTGCGGGGATCGCGGCAGCGGGTTGGTGGTTCTTCTTCTTCCTCTTACCGGAGACAAAAGGACGGCCATTGGAGGAGATGGAGAAGCTTTTTAGTAGAAAAAATGAAGCTGGTTTTGGTCAAGAGAGGCAAGAAATTCAAAACAGGAGTGAAGTGTGAGGAATTAAGTGGAAGTGATAAACATTGGATTTTGGCGGATTTATTAGGTAATGTAATTATAAAAAATCTGAAAAGGATGGAAATAATAACCTATGTTAAGTTTTGCAATTTGGGCTAACGAAAAAAGCCACCCATCACGACGACTTATAGAGATTTTTATACAATATATATAAATGAAAATTTCATATCTTTTGATTTTTTAAACTAACTTCAAGTTTTAAAATTGAGGAATTTTATTTGAAATTTGTACTATCATGGGTCAAGTTGAAACCCTAGAATAGATGTGGGCAGTATTAGCAGTCCTAGTTGTAACCATTTGAATTATTGCATCTTGAAAATAATTAATAATTGGTACACACACATATATAAAATATATTTTTGAAAAATTTATTTTTCGTCTCGTTTTATCTACTTACGGGTAGACTCAACATCCGAAGGCAGCAGCTTCTTTGTCCGAATGGTACAGCAGACTGTCGTATCCATCCGTGATGCAATACCCAATTCTACAGTGGATGTTGGACATTAACAGCTCAGGGCACCTTATATTACATAATTGAAATTTCTATACGGCGTATATGTGCATGTATATGTAAACTGTATACCTGCAAATCCATGATCATGAACGTGCCGACAGTTCGTTTAAAAAATCTTTATTCGATATGGGTTTGTTGTCCAAATCTTCCAGTAATAAAAAATATATAAAAAGTCCCGAGTTGACCCGGCAAGATATTCTGAATGCAGCCAAAAGCATCTGTCCCCTTAATTGAAATATTAAAAAAAAAAAACGAAAGGAAGACTTTCTCAGGAAAAAGAAAACGACTAAAGTTGTTACAACTTGCCGTATATATTAATATAAGTGGAAATAACATTTAGAGCAGTCAGATGGCATGGAAGGTCGAGTCGTCGACCAAATAAGTCAAACTTCTACGTCGTCCTTATCCATTCCAAAGGAAAATCGGAACTCGATCGACTTCGGAGACATGTGGTCCGATCGAGACAGATGACCCGCGAGTTAAAAAGTTTCCAATTTTAGTGCGAAAAAATGTTTTTCGAATTTGTAGATCGAGAGAGAAATAAGAGAATGAACAAATCTGAGTTTGTGGAAATTTTCTCTGTTATTTTCAAAAATAAAATATCAAATCGTATTTATACAATCAGAAATACTAAACCAGCTAAACCAAGCTAAATGTCACTAAACCAAAAATACTTAACCGAAAACACATAACCGAAAACCAAAAATGAGAGCTAAAGACATGGTCTTCATATAGCCCCCCTCAAGATGGAGCATACACATTGTGAATGCCTATCTTGGAGCACAAATACGCCATTTGCTCAGCAGTGAGAGACTTCGTAAGAAGATCAGCAACCTGTTCTTCAGATGAAACATGTTGAATCTTCAGAAATCCACTCTTAATCTTCTCACGCACAACATGACAATCTAATTCAATATGCTTAGTTCTCTCGTGATACACGGGATTACTAGCAATATGAATAGCTGATTGCGAATCACAGAACAAGGTAACAGGTAAAGGAAACTCAATATAGAGCTCCTTCAGCAGCGATGAAATCCAAGTGAGTTCGCAACAAGTTTGAGCCAAAGCCCGATACATCAGAAATATTGATATTGTTAAAAAATATTGATATCCATCAGAAGTTGAAACATGAAAGGGTCCCCATACATCAATATGAATCAAATCAAAAGGTGAAGAAGATAATTTTCCAGAAATGGGAAAAGAAAGTTGTTTCTGTTTAGCCAGTGGACATATTCCACAATGTTCAAACTGAGACTTAGAATCTGAAAATGTAATCTGTGATGTATGACCAAGAGATTTTATTTTCAAGAAAGAGGGATGTCCTAGTCTTTGATGCCAAATGTCAATGTTGGATGTGGATACTGCAGTGCAAAGTGAAGAAGGAAGAGAATAACGGATTGGAGAAGACTTCTGCAGTTCCAAAATGTACAGATTATGCTTTTGCTCACCCTTGCCAATCATCAATTCCCGAGTAGGGTCCTGAATCATGTAAGAGTTATGAGTAAAAGTTACTGTATATGGAGTTGACCTTGTTAGCGCATTAATGCTTAACAAGTTGTAACAAAATGAAGGGACAAACAAAACAGAGGTTAAAATCAAGTGTGATGTAAGAGTGACTGTCCCGGATTGAGTAACCTGAATGACAGTGCCATTAGGTAAGGTGACAGTCACAGGAGGAATGGTTTGAATATCAGAGAACAATGATATGTCACAACAAACATGACTACTAGCACCTGTATCCAAAATCCAACACACATGCGGCAAAATAATGGCTGATTTGAAAGAGGGTAAAACAGGGAAGGTAGGAATGAGGTTACCTGGTGAGTTTGGTTGTGGGTGATGAACTGTGAAATCTGAATCATTGTAAGAATTGTTGGGTTTTCTGGGATCTCTAGAGCGAATCCTATTCCTAAGAGATCGATTCTAGGGTTTGCGCAACGGATATAAAACAAAAATTTAATAAACCCTAGAACCATGCTTCTAATGAATCGTAGAAACGTTAGAACGCTTACCTCAATCGATCCGGGGCCTGTATCAATCGAAGAACACGTCTGATCACGAAAGGCAGGAAATTACCTCGCCCTCTACACGTATCCACACTTCGGGATGGATTCCAACGCTTGGAACTTGTCTGCTAGGACTCGAATCTCTATTCGATTTTGTGCTTCGAGAAAACGAGACTCTTCAGTTTTCGAACTCTTTGGATCTCGACCAAAAGCTCTCTCAAACCTCTGAAAGTCGGCACTAAAAAATCTCTCCAGAATTAGGATTCTAATATCTTTCTTATAAAGTGATTTAACCCTAATTTCGGTTTAATTTTCGGAAAACCGGAACCTGGAACGGACGGTCCGGAATTGCACGTGGACCGTCCGTTCCAGTAAGGCAGAACGGACGGTCTACGTTTAGTGCGGACCGTCCGTTCTATCATCATAGAACGGACGGTCTGCGTGTTGTCGTGGACCGTTCGTGCTGCTTCCCAGAACGGACGGACCACGCATCCGGACCGTTGGGTCTCGACCCATCCGACTCAGTTTTCCGTCGTTTTCTCTCGTGCATTTGTCCTTCCCTGCGTGTGTGACCCTGTAGGCTCATTCGAAATAACAGTATAATCTGAAATCTCTATTTCGGATATACAAGTCATAGGCGGTCTCTAGCAAGACACTATGACTACCTATCTCGAATAGAGTTTGTTCGTGATCTTTACGAACGCCAGAGATGATTCCGGTTGATGATCCTTTTGTATCACGATATCATATGTCGAACATAAGGCATGGACAAGCCACCTTATGATTCCGGTTGATTCGTGATCTTTACGAACGCCAGAGCTGCCTTCAGAACGCCAGAGTTTGTTCGTGATCTTTACGAACGCCAGAGATAATTCCGGTTGATTCGACTGCTTTCTCGTTCACTGAGTTCGACTGTCTGAAATAGACGACGTTCGTCTATAGTACGACCACACCAAATCCCATCTTGACTATCTACAATCCAGTACATGATTCGTTTCGTACCTGATATACGCCTTTATAGTCCTCCTGTTACGCAGGACGTTTGACGTATTCAAAGCACGCAACTCCTCATGTTGGATCCGTAGATATCTCAGGTCTTAGGATCCACTCATGGAACCACCATATGAGATTCAAGTCATGACGCTAGTCCATGTGACAATCTCATGCGGGTCAATCCAGTATTCCGTTCCCCAACGAATACCTATGACTGTGATCGTATCCAATACTTATGATCATCTATGTGATCATCAATCACACATCATACTAGTCTTATTATGTCGTTATTCCCATAACGACACAAGACTAGGGAGTTTAGTATCATTCATAATGATACACGGATTTCATAACAGATCTAGTATGCTAGAACATGTAATGAATCAAATACTCTCATTAAACTCATAGAAAGAATCAATACATCAAATGTATCTAAACAAAGCTCATAAACAGTATATCATAGAGCACTAAACCAACAATCTCTCACTTGCTCTAATCATGAACTGCTAAACATCTAATGCCCATATCCCTAACATGACCATCATGCTTCGACAAAGGGAGAGGCTTCGTCAACGGATCGGCAATGTTGTCATCTGTCGACACTCTGCAAATGTGCACGTCTCCTTTGTCTATGATCTCCCTGATAAGGTGAAACCGTCTGAGTATGTGTTTGGATCGTTGATGGGATCTGGGTTCTTTCGCTTGTGCGATCGCTCCATTGTTGTCACACTACAGAGCAATGGGGCTATCAGCACT